TTTTTAAAAAAATTTTATTGATTTCTGCTCTTTTTAATTTTCTTTCTTCTTCTTGCTTTGGGTTTAATTTGCTCCTTTTTTTCTAGGTAATGTGGAAGCTTAGATAAATGTTTGAAATTTTATTTCTTTTTAAATATAAACGTTTAGTGCTATAAATTTTCCTCTTTGTATTCCAGGTGCATTGCATAAATTTTGATATTTTATGTTTTTATTTTAATTCAGTTCAAAATATTTTATAATTTCTCTTGTATATTTTATTTGACTCATGTATTGTTTAGAACCGAGTTGTTTAATTTCCAAATATTTGGAAATTTTTCAGGTATCTTTCTGTTACTGATTTCTATTTTAGTTTTAGTAAACTAAATAAGGTTTTTAGTTTTGCTGACGTCAGAAAACAAACTTTGTGTGATTTCAATCCTTTTAATTTTTTGTGACTTTTGTCACGGTCTTGCATAAGATCTATCTTATTGATTGTTCTATGTGCAGTTGAAACAATGCGTATTCTGCAGTGGCAAGGTCAAGTGTTCCACATATGTCAATTAGGTTAAGTTGGTTGATGGTTTTGATCAAGTCTTCTTTATACTTGCTAGTTTTATGTATACTTATTCTACCAATTGCTGAGAGAGGAGTGTTGAAATCGCCAACAATAATATTAGTATTGCCTATTTTTCCTTTTAGTTCTATTAGGTTTTGCTTCTCATATTTTAAAGCTCTGTTATGAGATGCACCCACAATTATTATTGTTATATCATCCTGATGAATTTATCCCCTTATCATTAGAAAATATCCCTCTTTATCCTTGGTATATTAGTCAGCTCAGGCTGCTACAGCAAAGTACCACAAACTGGGGGGATTAAACAATAGGAACTTATTTTCTCACAGTTCTGGAGGCTGGAAAATCCAAAATCAAGGTTCCAGCAGCGTTGGTGTCTGGTGAGAGCTCATCCCTGGGTTGCCGACGGCCACCTTCTCCCCCGGGCTCCTGTGGCCTCTCTTTGGCGTGTGCAGCTGTGTTGGGGAGAGGGGAGTGCTCTGCTGTCCCTCCTCATAAGGACACTAATCCTATCAGATCAGGGCCCCACCCTTACGACCTCATTTAACCACAATTACTTCCCTAGAGGTCCATCTCCACATACAGCCACACTCTGGGAATTAGGGCTTCAATATATGAATTTGGGGAGGACACAAAAATTTAGTCCGTAACACTTGGTAATATTCTATGTTTTGAAATCTTTGTCTGATAGTACAGCTACTCTAGCTTTATTTTTGTTTCATATTTTGAAACAAAACATACTTTGTTTCATATGTTTCTTTCACATGAAAGAAATATTTTCATATTTTTCCATCACTTGACTTTTAATCTCTGTCTGTCTTTACAGTTAAAGTGAATTTCTTGCCGACAGCACGCAGTTCGGTCTTGTTTTATGCAGTCTAACAATCTTTGCCTTTTAAATCTTAGAGCAATTTCCTCTTAATCTATTTGCTGATATTGGTAGAATAAGTCTACCATGTTGTTATTTGTTTTCTATTTGCCCCACCTGTTCTTTGCTCCTCTTTATCTTTTATCCTGTTTTCTTTTGGACTAATTGAACATATTTTATGGCTCTGTTTTATCTCCACCATTGGCTGATTAGCTAGTCATCTTCTTTTTATCTAGTCATCTAGCTTTTTTATGTTCTTAGGAGTTGCTCTAGTATTTATAATATAAATCTTTAACTTATCACCATCTACTTTTAAATCCTATTAAAATACTTCATATAAAATATAAGATCCTGGGGCCAGCCCCGTGGCCGAGTGGTTAGGTTCATGCACTCCGCTTTGGTGGCTCAGGGTTTCACCGGTTCAGATCCTGGGCGCAGACCTAGCACTGTTCATCAGGCCATGCTGAGGCGGCGTCCCACATAGCACAACTAGAAGGACCCACAACTAGGATATACAACTATTTACTGGGGAGCTTTGGGGAGAAGATGAAACAAAAAAAAAAATAGAAGATTGGCAACAGATGTTAGCTCAGGCGCCAATCTTTAAAAAATACAAAAGATCCTTACAACAGATATTTCTATTTACCACGTCCATCTTCTGGGCTATTTTTGTCATATATTTTACTTCTACATTTGTTATAAACCCCATAATACATTTTTAAAAATTTAAAAGTCCTTTAATGATGCTGAAAGTGAGAAAGACTATGTTTTACATTTATCCTCATATTTTACAAAACTGCTTTTCTGGTTAACAACATCATTTGCTAGAAGGGAGAGTAAATTCTGCCAGCGCATCTTCTACCCTATTTTGGCCAGATGTGACTGTCTTAAGTTCTAAGTTATTGTTACAAACCAGCACCGTTCCGTTAGTTTTGTACAGTATCGTACCTGCGGGATGCTGCTAGTCTCAGTCAATCAACAACTCACAAAAAAGGTTTAGGAGGGCATTTCTAGGGGTTCCAATCTAAGATTACTGGGGTGATCAATCAATCAATGAAACAACGATTATTCATTTGTCAACTTCTCTGTACTCATTCATTAGTTAAACATGGATTAATCATTAACTATGTGTCTGACTCCAAGTTAGGTACTGGCAATACGAGGAAGAAAAGGTGCTGCCCTTTCCCAGAAGGATCTCCCAACGTAGTCAGTTTTAACGGGAGAGTGAAATCAGCTTTTAAAATGCATGAATCAGTGTTTTCCTCCTCAGTGCCTACTGTCATTTCTCCCATAATTCTCTGTGCCCTAAGTTTTATAACTTGGTTTTAATATAGTATAATGTTAAACTACTATAATGATAACAATAATGCAGCTACCAGTTTCAACATGCACTTTTTAATCATCTTCCAATACAACCCTGGGAAGTATTGTTATTCTGATTTTACAGAGGGGGAAACTGAGGCTCAGAGAGTAGTTACAACTACTAAGTGAGCAATCTGCGACTGGATTTAATCCAGGTCTGGCTGACTCTGGAGCACCTGTTTTGTCAGAAATAAGCAGAAAAAGGTTGGCCCAAGACTTCTGTTTCTGCTTGGAATCCCACAACAGAGAGGTCTGGGCACACTGCAGGGAGTGGATAAATGCTGTTAAAGAATGAAGAGGAAAGGAAGCAATCAGTGAATCTTTCAATCAGTGAAAGAGTGAAAAGGCAACCTGTAGAATGGGAGAAAATGCTTGCAAATCATATATCTGATAAGGGGCTGATATCCAGAATACCTAAATAACTCCTACAACTCAACAACCACAGAAAATAATCTGATTAAAAATGGGCAATGAACTTGAACAGACGTTTCTCCAAAGTAGCTATATAAATGAACAATAGGCACATGAAAAGATGCTCAATATCACCAAGCATGAGAGAAATGCAAATCCAAACTACAATGAGGTATCACCTCACACTCATTTGGCTAGCCACTATAAAAAAATTAATTAAAAAACAAGTGTTGGTAGGATGTGGAGAAATTGGAACCCTTGTGTACCGCTGGTAGGAATGTAAGACGGTGCAGCCATTATGGAAACCAGTAAGGAGGTTCTTCAAAAATTTAAAAATAGAAGTACCATATGATTCAGTAATCACACTTTTGGATATAAATCCCAAAGAATCGAAAGCAGGATCTTGAAGAGATATTTGCATACCCATGTTCATCGCGATATTATTTACAATAGCCGAGAGGTGGAGGCAGCCCAAATACCTATCAAGGGATGAATGGATAAAGAAAATATGGTATATGCATAGAATGGAATATTATTCAGCCTTAAAAAAGAAAAGAATTCAGTCATATGTTACAACATGGATAAACTTCTAGGACACTATGCTAAGTGAAATACACCAGCTACGAAAAGACCAAGACTGTATGATTCCACTTACATGAAGTATCTTAAGTAGCCAAACTCATGGAAACAGAAATTAGAATGGTGGTGACCAGAGGCTGGGGGGAGGGGAAAATGTAGGAGTTTTCTATGGATATAGTTTCAGCTTTGCAAGAAGAAAAAATTCTAGAGATCTCTTACATAATACGATTATAGTTAACACTTCTGAACTGCACACTTAAAAATGTGTAATATGGTAGATTTTATGTGTTTTCTACCACAGTTAAAAAAAAAAAGAATTAAGAGGAGGGCAGCCTCATGATCTGCTGTTCACGTCTGGACTTATTTAGCTAAAATCGAGCCTTGCCAGCATTTTCATCCAATGACAGAGCCTCAAGAATCCCAACTTTCCTTTACTCACGATAGGAGTGGCCTCGTGGCTCCGCCAGGTGTCGCCCTCGTTGGGGCCACCCTCACCCCGCCCACAGCCCCGCCCACAGCCCCGCCCACCGCCAAGCTTCCTCCAATCGCGGCCCTGGCCCCGCCCCCTGCCGAGCCTCTTTCCTGCATCCGGGGCTAGGTGGGCTGGCTCTGGACCCGGAGAGGCATGGAGGTCCACGGCGAGCTCCAGGCCAGCCCGAGCAGTACGTCGTCCGCCCCGGACAACTCCGGGGTCTCGGTGTCCAAGGAGCTGCTGACTGCGGGGAGCGGCGGCCGCGGAGGTGACGGGCGGGAGGCGGCGGCGGGGGGCGCGCACGTGTGGCGGCGGCGGGCCGCTCCCTGTCGTGGCCGTGCACCACCAGAGGGGCCTCGGGGGTGATCGCGGGGCCCCAGCGTGCCCGCCGCCGCGGGGGGTGACGGTGGGGGCACGGAAGGGTGGGGGCCAGGCACCCGGCCGCGGCCCCGGGGTTGGTTCTTATATTCTGCATGGTGGTGGGCGCGCACTGTGCCGAGCGCCACAGCAAGACATCTCCTCTGAAGAGAAGGCCTTAGGGTCGGCGGTCTGGGTCAAGCAGGTGCCCGGTAGTGGGGGCAGATGAATATTATGGATTAATACCCCCCCACCATCCCCACCCCACCCCCGATGCTCACAGAACCAGCGGCCCTTCGTGTCGCTCTCTTGTAGAGGGAGGCATGGGTCCAGGAGATCCACATAGGATTTCAGACACTATAATAGAAAATTTAAAAGCATCGGTTCGAATCCCCGCTCCACGAGTAGTTAGCTGTGGGCCTTTGGGGGAGTTGTTTACGTTCTCCACGCCTCAGTGTTCACCTTTGGAAATGGAGCTCGTGGTACGTATGGAATTTTTGTGAGGAGGAGAATGCGCTTGAGGGCTTGGGCATGTTCTCCGTGAATGTTTGCTTGAAGAAGTTTCTAGGAGAACCCAGAGCATCCAAAGGAGTTAGAATAATAGTAGCCAAAGCTTGTGTAGTGCTTAGTCTGCCCCAGGAATTAATTAACTCGTTTAAGCCTCATAACAACCCTGTGCAGAAGGTTCTGTTATCTCCACTTTATAGATGAGGAAACTGAGTCATGGTGTGTCATACAGATAAGTAATTTACCAGAGATCATTTGGCTGGAAAGTGGCAAAATTGGGATTCGAATCCCATCAGTCTGGCTCCAGAGTCCATGCTCTTTACGCTAATCCCATTGCTAGGCCTAAAGTCGTTAAGCCATGAATGTTTGTTAGCTCTGCTTTGTGGGTGGACAGGATTTTTGTACCAGAGCGAAAAGATTTTGCGAGTGTTGGGAACAAGGTGCGCAAAGCCTTGAGTTTTGAAAGACAAGTCTTATTCTCTGAGCTCTGATGGGCCCGCCGATTGGGTTGATTTGAGGAGAAGTGAAGGACGAGCTGAGAAGGTGGAGTAGGGGGACAGAATTTCTCCCAAGGCTGTTTTGTGTAGGTTGGGCATCTTTACTGAAGGGGAAGTAACCAGGCAGGCATGTTTTAGAAATGAAGAAACGAATGCTCAGGGAGGTTCGGTAATTTGCTCAAAGTAACGCAGCTAGTAACCATCTCCATCACTTAGCCATTATTATGCTGTGTACCTCTTCCTCTGTTCCGTCATTGCAGACCCGCTCTTGTCAAGGATGGGTTTCTAATGTAGATCAGAAGGTGCAGTTTAGTGTCACTTATTACTCAGCATCAGTGACACAGAGATGTATGAGACAGGCTTAAGAGAGGGGAGATGGATGTACATAAGGAACTAAAATGTAATGGAACTTGGAGGGCATCTTTTTTTCAAAACATCTTGGGAAATGAGGAATGATTTAAGACTTGAAAGTGGTCCTGGAAAGCCTGCTGATGGGCCCCTATTTCTTTACACTGTAGTGGATTAAATGTGTGTGTGCTTTCAGGTATTTGGGACAGGTTGCTCATCAACTCCAAGCCTGATTCCAAAAAGACTTCCACTCTTCAAACAGTTCGGATAGAGAGGAGTCCCTGTAAGTACCCTTCCGTCTCTCTCTCTTCCTCTCTCTCAAGAACTCTCTCTGATGTTAAATTCGGCCTAATGAAGCAGTTATATGGTGGGACAGTCTCTGCCTTGATGGTCAGATATCAAACCACAAAGAGTCTGGCAGAGCAGGTCTTACTTGTCACTTACATTGTGAGGTCAGCGCACAAGGATGGAATTTCTTACATTGTTTCCCTGCTTTCAGAGGAAGAGTTTTCCCAGAAAAACTCTTCATGGGATGAATTTTTGGAAATCAAAAACAATTATTGTTATCTCTATGGGAAATTTTTTTTAGAGGTTACTGAGCTCCAAATGTAATACACAAGTTTGGGAAAACCCCACCACATCCCGTTAAATGGGACACAATTTCTTAAATGGCAAATGTTACTTCTAATACTAAATCATGGGGCCAGTTCTCTTCATTAATTACTCTAGAATATTGCTGTTCTGCACACTTGTAAATATATCCCACACTCAGACTTTGTTCCTATAGCATTCAGGTAATACACACCATCTGTGTAATTCACTCTTCATTTTTTAAAAAAAATAAAGACAAGAATTCAGTGAAAACAATGTAAATGATGCATGAGATTCTGTCTGTAAACTAAGAAATCATGAGTATTCTGAGAGGGGAACTTAACCACAGGATGCATTAAATTTGCCGCCGGTAAAATGACCACATGGGGGCTGTCCATTCAAATACAAGTTCTTGTGTTGACATAGCTTTTCATTTTGGTAGGGTACATACCTAGGAGTGGAATTGTTTGGTCAAATGGAAAGTGTATTTTTTTGTAAAGATGAAATTGCCAAACTATTTTCCAAAGTTGGGTATACCATTTTGCGTTCCCACCAGCCAGGTACCACACCCGGTGTGGTCTGTCTTTTTAATTTCGGCCATTGTAGTGTGTACGTAGTGGTATCGCATTGTAATCTTAATTTCTTTTTCCCTAATGACTAATGATGTTGGATGTCTTTTCATGTGCTGTTCACCGTTTATGTGTCTTTGGTAAAGTGTTCAAATCTTTAGCCCATTTTAAAAATCAGGTTATCCCATTAAAAACAACATTTTTTGTAGTGCAGGCCTGCTGGTGATGAATTCACTGGCCTTTATATGTCTGAGAAAGTATTCATAGTGTTTTGGGTTTTGAAAGATGTTTTCAATGGATATAGAATTCTAGGTTGATAGGTTTTTAAACTTCATTTTTTTCATCTTTCAGTAATTAGATGTTGCTTTGCTGTCTTCCAACTTGCATTGTTTCTGATGAGAAGTCTGATGTCATTCTTATCTTTGTCATGTATATAATATTTCCTTTTCTCTCTGGCTCCTTTAAGATTTTCTTCTTTATCTCTGTTTTTCACCGATTGGATGGTAATGCGTCTCGTTGTAGTTTTCTTTGTGGTTCTTGTGCTGGGGGTTTGTTGAATTTCTTGGATCTGTGAGCTTATAGTTTTCATCAAATTTGGGAAACTTTTGGTCATTTTTTCTTCAGATATTTTTTTCTGTTCACCCTTCTCTCTTAGCTTTCCTGCAGGGACTCCAGTTACACTTAATTTTGCTACTTGAAGTTGTCTCACAGCTCTCTGATGCTTGGTTTTGTTTTGTTGGGGTTTTTTTCAGTCTTATTTTGTGTGTGTTTCATTTTGGGCAGTTTTTATCGCTGTGTCCCCAAGTTCACTAATGTTTTCTCCTCTATTGTCTAGTCTGCTGTTTAATCCCATCCAGTTTATTTTTCAAGCCAGATATTGTAGTTTCCATCTCTAGAAGTCCAATTTGAGTCTTTTTTTTTTTTCGCTTTAGGAAGATTCTCCCTGTGAACATCTGTGCCAGTTTTCATCTGTTTGTTTATTTTTATTTTTTTTGAGGAAGATTAGCCCTGAGCTAACATCTGCCGCCAATCCTCCTCTTTTTGCTGAGGAAGACTGGCCCTGAGCTAACATCTGTGCCCATCTTCCTCTTCTTTATATGTGGGATGCCTACCACAGCATGGCTTGCCAAGCGGTCCCATGTCTGCACCCAGGATCCAAAACAGTGAACCCCAGGCTGCTGAAGAAGAACGTGTGAACTTAACCGCTGCGCCACCAGGCTAGCCGCCAGTTTTCCTCTATTTTGTGTGTGGGTTGTTGCCACTGCATGGCCACCACTGAGTGGTGTAGGTCTGTGTCTGGGAACTGAACCCGGGCCACTGAAATGGAGCGCGCCAAACTTGACCACTAGGCCACGGGGCCAGCCCCCAATTGAGTCTTTTTTAATATCTTTCATTTCTTTCCTCATTGTGACCATGCTCTTCTCTGCTTCCTTGAATATGTGGAGTGTATTTATAATGGTTGTTTTAACATTCTTATTGGTGGTTCTGTCGTCTGTGTCATTCCTGGATCTATTTCTATTGATTTTTTTCCTACTGTCTGTGGATTATATTTTCCTGCTTATTCACATGCTTGGTAATTCTTACTGGATGCTGACATTTTGAATTCTGTGCTGTTGTGTGCTGGATATTGTTTTATTCTGTTTAGAAGAAGTAGAGCTGGCCTGGCTTCGGGTTTAGCATGTCCCCTTCACAGTACGCAGAAATAGCTGGCTTCTCAGCATCGTGGTTCATGCTACACCTGAAGGTACCTGTTTGCTCCACGTGATTCACTAAAAACCAAAGCAGAGCAAAATCGCCTGATCCTCCGTCTGTGGTAGTAGATTTCAGTCTGAAGACACAGAAGTACCTTTATTTTTATCAGTAATTTCACTTTCTGTGTGTCTGAAAGGGCACGAGGGCTAACATTTACTCACTATTTAGTATGTACTAGACATTGGGTGCGACTTTGTACATATGCGACCTCATTTAACCCTTCTAGGAGCAGTATTTTACAATTAAAGTCCATTTTTTTGACTTTTGCTATCATTTTCTTCCTCCACACTCTGGACATTTTAGTCATCTGTTGTGTAGCTGTGTTAGTGACTTAACAAGTTTAGAGAACTCATCATGCGCACAGTTATGTGCTTGGCCCCTTTTGAGAGACAGAGAAATTAGATATCCCTTGTTTGCTGACTCTCTTGTACTTAGCATAGTGCCATTTACAGATGAGTAAACAGATTTCGAGGGGTTAGATTAAATGTATTAGTTAGGACTCCTGTGATTTTAAATGACTGAAACCCCACTCAGATTGCCTTAAGTGAAAAAAAAAATTATGTTGGCTCCTTTTATTGGAAAGAGTGATTTCAGACACATCTGCATCCACGTGCTCAGTGTCGTCAGGGGTCTGCTGCTCTGTACCCCTTAGCTCTGCTTTCCTGAGTGTTGGCATAATCTACAGCGGGCTCTTCCCCGACGTGTGGCCAGCTGGCCAGTTTATCAGCAGCTCCAGACTTAGGCACAGCAGCTCACTCAGCCAGTCGCTCACTCAGAAGGAAGGTTGTCTTTCTCAACAGTCAGACCATGTCCCAGGGTGATCTTGCATTGGCCTGACTAGATCATGGTGTCACTGTATATGCCACTGAACCAAATCATGGTGTCCAAGGTTGTGGAAGATGTAGGCACCCATGGGGTGAGGGACAGGAGTGACTGAGAGTGACAGAGCTTAAAACGAAAGTCAGGGTTATGTTATCAGATGAAAGGGGAACAGATGTTGGGCAGGTAAAAAACCCACTACTTAATTAACATGCCCACGGTGATTCCAGTAGAGGAAGAGGTGGAAGTGGGATTCTGCTGATAACCTTGTCAGGCCGCCCCGCAGCCCGGTGCCCTTCACTCTTAGGTCATGCTGCCTCCTTACTCAGTTACTGTTTGTTGGATGCCAGCCTTCCAGGAGGTTACAGTTCTGGGCATATATGAAAAACACAAATGAAACATTGGGAAATAGTTAATTGCTAAATTGTGAGGTCCTGTGGATGGAGGTTTTTAAAATGGAAAAAACTAGAAAGATTTTTTAATTATAATTATTGTCATTATTATTACCTTTACATTCAGAAGTGTCTTACAGGAAATTCCGGGTTTTAAAATTTGAAGTTTGGCCAAATACTAACATGAATCTTGATAAACTGTATTTTTCCTCCTTAGTATTGGACCAAGTACAGACCTTTCTCCCACAGATGGCTCAGGCAAATGAAAAGCTAAGAAAAGCAATGGCAGCTGCACCACCTGGTCGTTTCAACATTGAAAATATCGATGGGACTCTTGGAAAAGTTATACAAATGGTAACTCTGCTTTGTTTTAATTTCATAAAATAAAATCACCCGTGTGCCTCGTCACTTAAAAAACGAGAGAGCTGTTCCATTTTAATTCCAAGTGTTATTTTCCTTCCTGGGAAGTCAGCTGGCGTTTCCAGTGCAGCGTAGGTACTGGGTCATTTTATGTGAGGATTTTAGAGGTCAGTAAGCTTCCCTGGGCCCAGTGGAGGGATGTCGTAAATACAGAATCTTAGGAGGGTTTGTTCAAATCAGATACTACATTTGTTATCTGGGAGCACTAATTTACTAAATGATTTTTTTTCTACCACTTAAAAATATAAAAACCATTCTTAGTTCATGAGCTAAACAAAAACAGGCAGAGGGCTGGTTTGGGGCTACAGGCCGTAATTTGCCAACCCCTGCTAAAAAACTAAGAATTTTGTTGCTGTTGTTTTTGGGTCTGGTACCTAGTGTGGTGCCCGGCTCATGTTAGTATTGGTTGAATGAATCTTGTTGAGTGTATTCAGGATATATCGAATTGGTTGGGGGCACTTTTTAGATTTGTAGTAAATGTAAATCATTATATTGGACTCTGGGAACTAAAAGAATAAAAGTGCCATATTGTATTCAAAACATTTCTTTTCCTTTGTGCTTAAATATTTGTGCTAAATGTTGGTTGTTCCCAAATGTTGTTTTTACAACTTTTTGGGGAACCGCCCTGAAATAAATTTCCCACGTGATGCTTTTTGCAGGATGTGGCCTTGTTTGAGATGAATCAATCTGATTCAAAAGAAGGGGACAGTTCAGAAGAGAATTCGCAAGACAGTTCAGAGGACAGTTCCGATTCCGAGGATGAAGAGGACAGCTCTGAAGTCACCGTAGATAACATTAAGCTTCCTCATTCAGAAGACGGAAAAGGCAAGATAGAGGTTTTGGACAGTCCGGCCTGTGAGAAAAAGAAATAGTGAAATAAATGATCTAAGAGTCAGGTGATCTCTGCCTGCTAATTCTGTGAAAAAGAAGGTGGCTCACTCATTATTTTGCATTTCAGGTATCTGTGGTGCTTTTATGTAATACTGGATCTATTTTGTTTCTTGGAGAAACAGAAGCTGCCTTTTAAAGAGTTGGCGAGGTACCATTTGGGGATCTCTAAGAGTAGACTGTGTTTGATCTCCTGCTAAAGGGATTTAGTTTAGAAAGCTTAGCTTTACGTCTGGTGGTGAGTAAATCTGTTGGCATCTTTTTTCTTCAGCATAGACTTCAGAAATATCAAACTCGTTTTAAGATAAAAACACAAATCTCCTGTTTGTTTTTGTTTTAAATTATCCTCTTGGATAAAACAACCTGGGATTTTCTTTAGGTTATTATAAAGTCCAATTTATTTCTCACCATCAAAATGCGTTCAATGAGGAAGAACTTTTTTTAAGAGAGAGTTTTCACAAAGAAAAGAATTACTTATATTTAGCTTTCCTCAGGCAGATCTACTTTCATTTAAAAAAAATATTCCTTTCTGGTTTGAGCTGGAAAACTGGTGCTCTGTGGCTTAATCACTGTTGGTGTCTCTGCAGCCACTCAGTGTGTGTAGAATTTACTGGTTGGAAAAATTTGTGGGTTTTTCGGTTTGGTTTTTTCTTTTCTTTTTTTCATAAAGCAAGGTTTTTTTGTTTCAGCTATTAAAACTATTCTGCACAGTTGCCCATGGTTTGAAACCTATCAAATGTAGACAATAAGGGACACCACAGGAAAATTAGGGCACAGTACCAAAAAAGGTCACAGCTGGTTTTCCCTGTCAAAGGTCAGATTGATCCTATGCTGGAGTCACCTTTCTGCCTCATTCTTGACCTTATTAAATTTGTTTCACATCTGCCACGGGACTGGCATTGCTCAGGGTATAGACCCAAGAATTTAAAGGATTATCTCTGAGTGGGTTGAGCTGATGGAATTTTGTCCCCTAATGTTTTGGAGCTCTCTTTTAACTATTTTTCCCTACTCCTCACATTAACCCAAGACATCTTGTCAATACTCAGAAGATAATTCTCAAAGTTCTTTCTGGTATTTCCCATGGGAAATTGGAACCAGCTCTTCCAAGCTGTGCCTCACTAATTATATGAAGAAATGAGCCAGTCTGGAAACAAGATTTCTCTGCTGGAAAGGGCATTATGCTATACTTTGTAGCGCCAAACACAACTGTGATGTATTTATTGGTGTAAATATTTAAAGATCGTCTTCTACCAGATAATATTACATTATATTGTGGGAAGAATTGCATTTGTCTGGTTCATTACTTAGCCTGGTGCGTGGTACATGGTAGGCACTGAATAATGTTAATAAATGAATTAACAGGTATATGAGGGTGTATGGGACATTGTAAGCCATGGTAGGCTGCTCCAGACAGGGGCATGTGAAGGTGTAACTTCATAGGAAATAACAGTAGAAATAGACTGAGTGATCAGTGAAAGAGGCTAGTAAGTCTGTTAATACATACTAGTATGTAGGACTTTAGTATTTTTCTCCTGCCACGCCTATCTCATATAGTACAACTAGGCTTCCTGTACAGTAAAGGAAGTCAACTAAATTCAGGTCCTCTGGACATTGAACACAGGAGAAATGGGAAAACCAGAAATGTAATATATGATAAGGATGTCATTTTAAGTAAGTATAAAATGGATGAATTACTTAATATACAATGTGAGAACTGGCTATTTCAAACCAGATTAGATTCTAGCTGCATACCATGTGCTAAGATAAATTATATGTGGATTAAAAATTTAAATATAAAGAAAGAAAATTACGAGTTTCATACTAAAATAAAGGTGAATATTTACTGATGAAATTGGGCAAAAGTTTTTTCTTAAAGCAGAACATCAAAGCCTGAAATCACAGAGGAAAAGGGCAGGAAATTCACATAAATATTAAAAACTAGTGGGTGGCAAAGAAATTTAAAATGAAAGGACAAGTTGGGAAAAATATTTGCAATATAAGAAAAAGAATGAGTGTCGTTAGTATATAAAGGGCTGTTACAAATTAGTAAAGAAAAAACTCATATCTCAATAGTGAAAAGGCCATAGGGGTCAGCCCCGTGGCCCCATGGCTGGGTTCTCGAGCTCCACTTCTGCGGCCCGGGGTTTCACTGGTTTGGATCCTGGGCGATCCTGGGCGTGGACATGGCACCGCTCATCAGGCCATGCTGAGGTGGCATCCCACATGCCACAGCTAGAAGGACCCACAACTAAAATATGCAACTATGTACTGGGGGGATTTGGAGAGAAAAACCAGGAAAAAAAAAAAAGGCCATAGGACATGAACAAGTAATTCACAGAAAAAAAAAGTTCAACTCCTTTTGTCAAAGAAATGCAAATGAAACCAAGATAGTATTCTTTACCTATCAAGTTGGCAGATGAAACTATAGCTGGTACTCACCCAGCCCTTTCTGTGGGTCGGGCACTCTTCTAAGTGATGTAAGAGTTAGCACCACTCATACATAGGTATAGATTTCTTGAGTTGCACATTTAACATTTGCGCACTTTATGTATGTTACACCTTAATTAAAAAGCCGTTTTGTTCGTAAGCAGTTTGCCTTACAGTCTCCTGGAAACTGAATCACTACTGGGCTTTGGTTGGTCCGGCCCTGCCTCATGCTTGGGTGTGAGATGACGGCAGCCAGTGAGGGCGATGAAATGTTCTCTTCAGACGTGTGGGGTATTGTCGTTCTATGGCTCTGTGACAGGTGTGAATCAGAAAATTAGATGGAATGGTCTTTGAAGCAAAAATTTCATTCTGAATGAATCTCCTGTCTATTCTTATGATACTTTAATTTGCATCAAATGTGGTGTTTATAAAAAAAACTGCCTTGCAAAGTAGTTGGTATCGTGCCTGTAGCCACTACCGTGGGAGGAAAGGCAGGAGGAGAGGCAGTGTCTTCCTTTCATTTCTGGTTCCTTCGGTGGGAATGTACAATAATGCTCATTAAGTTATTTTTTTTTCTCTTTATGTTATAAAGTGATTCATCTTAAACATCAGTGGATGACAATCCTGAAGAAAAACAAAAAGGGTAAATATGACTGGTAGACTTTTCCCAAAAGTCCAATGTTGGAATCTTTGTGGTTGACTCCTCACCATCGTTGATGGAAAACCCTCGCCAGTGATTGGTTTGGGAATGGGCACGCGACACGAATCTTCCCAACGAGGCACGAGCAATGTCTTGTTAGTAGACTTGGCAAGGAAAGTATTTCTCATTCCTAAAAAGGAGGCACGTGAACAGCTGGTTCCTTTCTTCTGAAGGGAGAAAGGACTGGATAGCTTATGACTGGAAATGACTCCTGAAAGTCCTATCTAGTGGCCATAAATAGAGCCTGCTCTCGAGGGTACAGGCGGCACACCACAGATGGCAGAGAGGAGCAAAGAACATCACTGAGTCACTGCATCAAATAGCTCTGTAGACTGAACTATCATTGGATACAACAAATTTCCTAACTGTTGAAAGAAGCGCCTTATGAGGCATTCTGCTTAAACCCACTTCACAGATGGGAAAAGTGGCGTGGAGATTAAAGTAAATTTCCTAAGGCCTTGCAATAGCTAAGTAGTGGAGCGGAGTTTTAAGTTCAGTCAGCCACACCTATTCCTCATGACCCTACTAGTCACTATGCCACGAGCACAGACTCTGAGCTGTCTGGATCAGATCCCAACCCAGCCACTTATCTGTTTCTCCATCTGTAAAATGGGAATAACAGTATCTTCCCTCAGGGGGTTTTGGTAAGAAATTAGTGAGTACATACACATCGTGTGCTTAAAACAGCGCTCGGTAAATGTGAGGTATTATGACGCTGTAAGAATCTACACGTGGTGGCAAAAATTTGGGGGAAACTATTAGTAAGGTTATAGATTTCTATATCCTTTGACTCAGACATTCTACTTCTAGGAATTTATCCTAATTAAATAATTACAGCTTTGTTCACAAATTTCTATATAAGATTTATTGCGATGTTTAAAATAGCAAAAATCAACAATATGTCCCACATACATATATGTAAATGTGCAACAATAGAGAACAAGTTGAATTAAAGTCACTGAACATGTGAAGAAGTATGTTTATTGACATAGAAGGATGCTTGTATATTGTTAATTGAAAAAAGTGGGTAACCAAGTTATATAGTAGTATACTAGTTCTGTAAAAACCTATGTGTTCAGGGCTGGCCCAGTGCCGTAGTGGTTAAGTTTGCATGCTCCGCTTCAGCAGCCCAGGGTTTGTGGGTTTGGATCCTGGGTGTGGACCTACACACCACTCATCAAGCCTTGCTGCGGTGGCATCCCACATATAAAATAGAGGAAGATTGGCACAGGTGTTAGCTCCGGGACAATCTTCCTCACCAAAAAAAAACGTATGTATTCATAGAAAAAGTCTGGAACAATCTCAAATATCTGTGGTTATTTCTGTGTGGAGAATTTACGGTTGAGTCTTAGCTTCCTGTTTTATGTGCATTTTACATAATTAAGTATTATTTAATCATTTTTAAAAATCCACTTGGGTATTTGCAGAACGGTAATAATAATAATCAATAATCCACCCCAGCCATCACGTCTCATATTTGATCATCTCCTTGTAGCCCCGGTTTCCCTCGACAGCTTTTATTTTCTTGGAGGGCAGGTATGGGGGAGCCAAACTTGATTTCTCACCCTGTCTCTAGCCGCTTCTGCAAAAGCTCTTGTGGGTAATGTGCATTCTGCTGAGGTTTTCAGTTTGGCAGATATTTACCCTGTGCCTGCGATTCGCTACCCAGGCCCTGATGGAGGCGTTGGCAGTAAAAGCCATCTCATCTCGGATAAGCACCAGTTTCGTTGCCTGAGCGCCTGTTGTGCCACTTCATAGCTGTGTGATTCGGGCAGGTTACTCAACCTCTTTCCTGTGAAAGCAAATATGTATTGAGCTCCTCCGACACATTAGGCGCTGGAGATACAGCATTGAACAAAAGTAGCACCTGTTCAGGAAGCTTACATTCTAATGGGGAGAAACAGATGATAAATATATGCCAGGTTGTGAAAAGCGCTGTGAAAATAATGCAGGATAAGAAGAATACAGAATGACAGGGCAGACAAGGTAGGAATGTGGGGACATGTGTAGAAAATATGTCTCTACTAAGATGATAATTGAGGAGAGACCTGGAGGAAGTGAGGCAGCCAGCCAGGAGGTTGTTTGGACAGAAGGAGTTTCAGGAAGAGGCAGTGGTGTGCTGGCACTGGCTTGTGTTTGTTCTGATTGCACACATCTCTTCCCAACTCCCTGTTCAGTGAAGTCAAATTGGTAGCTTGAAGTCAGCCTTGATGAGAGCATTTACACACAGAAGTCCACAAATGCTACAAGAGTTGGTTTTATTTTCCCCTAGAGAGCCATTTGTTGTTTACCAGCACGCCACTGGGAAGAGGGTGCAGTAAGTGCAAAGGCCCTGAGGTAGGAGTGCAGTTGGTCTACGTAAGGAATATCAAGGCACCAGGGTGGCTAGACAGAATGAAAGGGAAATTGATAGGAGATGAGGTCAGAGGTATCCAGGAGCAAAGTCAATAGGACTTTGTAGGCCATCGTAAGTACCCTGGACTTTATTCTAAGCGAATTGGGGGCCACTGGAAGGTTTTGAGGAGAGGACTGACACTGGCTGACGTAAGTGTTGAACAGAAGCACACAGAAGAATCAGGAGGACCAGTTGGGAGACTTTGGCAATAACCTAGATAAGAGATGATGATGGCTCAGCAGTGGTGGAGCTGGTAAGAAGAGCACCTGAATTTATTCATTTTTCAGATGTTGTGAAGGTTAAATAAGACAGCATTTAAAAAGTGGTTAGCATAGTGGTTAGCACACAGGAGGCCCTCAATAAATGGGAGCTGCTGTTATTGACAAAACGCCAATCCTGGGGGTGGGGAAGGGGTACCTGTATCTACTTAGGAAGGCAAATAATTTCAGCACCAAGTGGTAAGTACTATGTTCCAGACAAGTGAGAGCAGAGAGGAGAGACACCTAAACCCAGATGGGGGTGGGAAAGGCCAGGAATGGTGTTGGAGTGAAAGGGGACTGCTTTAGCAAAGGCCTGGGGAAGAGGATTAGAAGGAATGTAGAAGCGTGTCAAGTGTCCACACCTCCCAGTGTGGGTGACATCAGATCACAGCTTTATCCTTTAGCCAAATAAGGATCTGAAGGGACAGTGGTAATCTAATTAGTCAGTGTGTTAGTTCAATCACCTGGTGGGCCGTGGCTCATTACATTCCAATTCAAATTCACAGGTAGTTTTATGAATTCCATGGAGCCTTTGATTCTGATTAGCAGATATAAAAACTCAAGCCAGTCAGAACTTTAGAACTCGCTAGGAAAAAGGAGTTCTTAATCTGAGGCCCAAGCATGGACATTCGGAGGCCTATGAATCCCGTGAAGCTATTTTCAGACTTAGGTGTGTGCATGTGAATTTCAGGGGTAGAAGTGGGACAGAGGGGTCCACAGCTTTTATCAGATTCTCCAAGTCGTTCGTGGCTCAAAGAAGATTAAAGATACTGCTACTGAGATTAATTGTAGAGGGTACGATCAATCCAGAAGAAGGGTATGTTTTTGTTTGCCATTTTAGCTATCATTAAAATACTTGGTAAAGTGATATTTTAATTCACATGAAATCAGTTAAAACACTGCATTTAAGGGTCCAGTCTCATGGCCCAGTGGTTAAGTTCAGTGCGCTCCACTTTGGCAGCCCAGGTTGGGTTCCCAGGCATAGACCTGCACCACTCGTCAGCAGCCGTGCTGTGGCGGTGACTCACAAACAAAATAGAGGAAGATTGGCACAGATGTTAGCTCAGGGCTAATCTTCCTCAGCAAAAAAAAAACAAAACCAAATACCACTGCATTGAAAAGTGGTTCCTTGATAATAAGGCCTTTGTCATTTTTTTCAAATATGAACTGTCCGTTTGGACCCAGAGAGTATTCACTCCGACTTAGAATTTCAGCTCAGCCAAGCTCTCATGGTACGTGAGCTACAGTATAATAAAAAATGCTTACAGGTAAAACCTGCTCTATTGATCCTGACAGGATCACACCTGGCATTCTTCCTTTGAGTGTGTCCTGCCTCTGATTTTGTCGCAGCTGCTTGTTGATCAGTTTCCCCGAGTTCCCCTGACGTTACCCCGCTGAGTCTCCAGAGTAACAAGTTCTCCCTGAGGGCTTCTTCAAAGCCAAAGAGAGAAGAATTTTCCTTTAAAAGGAGGGTTAATAGCAGTTAATTGCTCTGGCCCTCTTCCAGCGATTCAGGAACTCACCCTCTAGTCACACGTGGATGGTGATCATTCACTCACCTAACGATTTCTGTCTCTCAGCGGGCAATTGTGTGAGTCCTGCACGGGCTGGAATAATTCCTATTTCTTGAGCACAGACGATGGTCCAGACACCTTAAGTGCCTTCTGTATATGATCCCACTGAATCCTTACCACACCTAACGAGACAGGGACTCTATCCCCATTGTATAGATACCAGACCTAAGCTTTGAGATATTAGGTAACTGATTTGCCCAAGATCACTCAGCTGGTGAGCAGTGGAACCAGTAGGCAGAAAAATGGAAAACAAGATGTCCTATGAAGGATGAGTGCACTGCACAAAGAAAAGCAACCCTTTGCCTTGGATCATTGTCATCTGTCGTTACGTGGCATTTTCCAGGGCTGCTGTGTCAGGCGCTGCATCAGAACATTGGATGAGAAAGGGGTATAGGAATCGATGACTATCGAAAAGGGTTGCAGGGAAATGAATTCATTCACCTAGTTAATACATCTCAATGTATATTTTAAGTAGTGATGGGGAAAACAGAATTCACATCTATTGAGTATTTACCACGACCAAAGCACGCTGCAAGGTGCTTTCCTTATATTATTGCATTGAATCCTTATAATAAGTTTCCTGAGGGAGGCATTACTGTCCCCACTTTACAGAAAAGGGAGCTGAGGCTCTGAGAAGTTGCATAAGTTTCCCAAAGTCTCATAGATGGTAAGATGGTATGATATGAACCAAGATCAGCCTCCAAAAGCGACTTGCTTTCTACTATGTCATACTGCAAAATTCACTCTCAAAGCTATTGACTAGAATTTAAACTATCTGGGGCCAGAGATCATGCCATTAAATTCCGTATACTCCTCAGGACATAATAGAGTACTAGGTACCTAGTAGGTACTCAAGAACTGTTTGTGGGTTCACCAGCCATCACAGTGGGTTGAAAAATAGACCATCAAAGGCACAAAGATGTATCTTATTTCCAAATATGAAGAAAAAAGAATATCCTTCACATTTTTTTACAGGATCTACTGTTCCTTGAGAGCAAAATTATAGTAAGTCTTTTAAATAACCTCACATGTATGGTTCAGAGGTTAAAACCTATACATATTATACAGGGGTTCCAAAAAAAATGCACCTTGTGTATTATAGCTGTGTGACATTGACATTTTCAAGATGAACAATATGATGGGGGGAAAAAGCAGCTTGGTATTTTTGAAATAAATGTGATATGCAACACAGTCAAAACCCAACAACTACAAATCATTTTAAGGTAGAAAAGGTGTCCTAGAAAATACTCAGGCACATGTGTGAGAGCTTAGACAGTGGCCTGCCCCTCTTCACAGTCCGTGTGTGCATCCATCGGCCCATGGCTGATACCTCCTTAGCCAGCAGGCCGGCTTCTTCAGCGTGTGGAGAGTGGAGGATGGGCCTGCTCTAGTATTCCAGGGTCACCGTCTTGGTTTTGAGGTATTCGTTTAGAGCTTCCTCACCTAGGGAAGAGAAAAGCAGTTATGGACCATAGTCACAGGTGTATGTGAGGTCACCAGACTGTCACACAGGTGCCGGTGTATAGGTCACTAAGCAAATAGAAGGTGCTTCTCAAACTTTAAATTTCTCGTGAATCACCAGAGGATCTCGTGAAACTGCAGATTCTGATTTGATTAAGTCCGTGTAGGCCCCAGGATTATGCATTCCTAACCATTCCCTGCTGATGCTGATGCTCACGGCCCACACTTTGAGGAGGAAGGGCCCAGACCGCTCCCAGGGCTTCTAAGGACCAGCGTGTTGGCTTGGTCGGTCTCCTCCCCAAACCTTTCTCCTTTATTTCCCTGCTTGATGACAAACTCTCTATCTCTAGCCTCTGCCCATTGAGGCCGAAAAGAAGTGATCAGGGTGCGGTCCTTCAGATTACAGTAAACGAAGCAGAACTGAGCACAGGAAAGAAAGTTGGCGATCGTTCTGTCTAATCTGATTTTAAAGATAAGGAAAATGCAGCTTTCCTGATTTACGTCGCATGTTCGAAAAGCAGAAGGGTTTATCCGGGCAAAAAAATAAACAGGTCTGCCTTTCTGTTTCTATTTTCAGCTAGAACAATCATCGATTTCTACAGCAAGGGGCGTGAACACCACAGGTGAAAATAATGAGTACATGATTCTAGAAGCCGAGCTAAACCAAGGGGTCTTAACTTTATATTAGAGTCACCTTGGGGGGATTTTAAACCTTGTGCTCCCTGGTCACACCTGAGACCAATGAAATCAACATAATTGTATTTTTCTGAAGCTCCCAGGTGAGTCTATTCCAGTGCACAGCTGGGAAGCCCTGGGCTAAGGGAACTTACAATTAGAAGAGGAAGAAGCAATTAGGCAACTTCTACTGTTTTATAATAAAACATAGACCTGAAGCTGGTTAATTATCAAAAGACAAGTGGAACTGTTGCCTCACTTAAAATAAGAATTTCCCTAAGAAAATCTGCCACTGTGTTTTGCATCCAGGGATGAAAGCCAGATTGAAGACGTGAAAAAAATGACTTTACTTTCAACTCAATGAGAAGCTACTTTGCTGCAAATACCTTGCCAAAAGTCATCAGGAACGCGAAAATGTAAAAATACCCCAAATTAACCAAATTTATATTAACGGACTATGATTTCAGTAAATTACAAACATTTCAGTTTTTGAAAAATGCCAGACTGACTGTGGGGAGTGAGAACACGGGGTCCACAGCCAGACTGCCTGGCTTTGAATCTTCTTTGCCAGTGGCTGGCTGTGTGAATTTGGGCAAGTTACCCAACCTCTCTGAGCCCCATTTTCCTCAACTGTAAAATAAGGATAATAATAGCACCTCTCTCTCAGGGCTATTGCAAGAATTGCTTGTGCTATTAAAGGTAAAGTAGTTATAATAGGGGGCGGTACACATTTAGTGTCCAAAGTAAGCTATTACTTGAAATGTGATAGTGTCACTGCCCACAGTGAATTACATTTTGGGCTTTCTACAAACTCTAAATCTGAGTTCCCAGACTCCCAGAAACCCTGCCAGTTGCAGTGTTGACTCTGAAGGACTGCCAAGCAACGCGAAGGCAGGATTTATTCTTGGAGCCGGCTAGTTATTGCACTCCACCCATTTTCCTTTCTTCGTTCCACTTAGCCCCAAGAAAGCTAAACCAAGTTCATACTGAACATCGGGGAAAAAAGCCCAACGTAGTTCTGCTAAAAGATATTGTCAGAGGTTCTTTGTCCTTTCAACATGAATCTCCTTCTTTTAAAAAGAAACCCTTTCCCACACAATTTGTTTACTTTTCTGTATGTACGTTATGTTCAATAAAAATGTTTAACATTTAAAGAAAACGGGTACCCTTGGTAGCCCAGATCCAACTGCCATGTAGGAGATGCCCTTCCACAAGGCACGCGTGTAGCATGAGACGCACAGCGGACTTCTCCGTGCTGGGTGACAAAGGGAACACGCAGTGGACAAAGCAAAGGCGCACCTAGGTCTTTTCCGAAGCCGGACTGTTTGACTCCGCCAAACGGGGCCGCCACGTCCGTCTTGTTGTACGTGTTGATAAAAACGGTGCCCGCGTCTAGTTTCTCACTCACGTACATCGCTTTGTTTATGTCTCTTGTAAAGACCCCTGAGGCCAAACCGTACTCTGTATTATTTGCTCGCTGCAACACTCCATCGATGTCCCTGCAAGATGTTTTCAGGAAGACAAAACTTCGTTAAGTGTCAAGCAAAACACTCTCCATTTTATGTTCGAATGTTTTCCCCCTCCATGCTAGAAACAGGAGGGTGATACTAGCCACCTGCTTACACTTTTATATATGAAATATTCCAGGCTTACACCCAAAGAAACCCTCAATGAAACATCAGAACTCTAGTATTGTATTTTTCAAAATATATCACGCAACACCTTTTAACATCTGATCTGAAGTCATCTTTTCATTCTTCCTCATTGGTTCTCCTTCCCGACTTCCCCATTTCCTCTCCTTACCCTTGAGTCTCACTCCCGGATATATTCTCAGAGCAGCCCCCCATCTCCCTCCATCTCTTCGCATTCTGCACACCCAGTTCAAGGCTCATCCAGTGCCTCATGCTGAAGCCCTCCCAGCTCCCACAGTGTCACTGTTGAGTGTAGTGGCTCCATGAGAGGGCTCTGCAGCCAGACTGCCTGGGTGACCTTGGGCAAACGACTTCATCTCCCCATGCTTCATTTATTCTTTTTTTTTTTTTGAGGAAGATCAGTCCTGAGCTAACATCTGTCGGCAATCCAACTGTTTTTGCTGAGGAAGATTGGCCCTGAGCTAACATCCGTGCCCATCTTCCTCTACTTTATATGTGGGACGCCTACCACAGCATGGCTTGCCAATCGGTGCCATGTCTGCACCCAGGATCTGAACTGGCGAACCCCGGCTGCCAAAGTGGAACGTGTGCACTTAACTGCTGTACCACAAGGCTGGCCCACATCATTTATTCTGATGAAAAATGGAAGTAATAATAATAGCACCTGTTCCATTTTCGTGAGGATTAAATGAGCTAATAGTGTGTGGAACACAGTAAGGCTCAGTAAAAGTCAGCTATAATCAGGAAGCACATACTCCTCCAACTGAGTATGTTGGTTTAACTCTCCACGTATTTGCAGTCCACCTCCCAACTAGATTGGATGTTCCCCGAGGGCAGAGATAACATTGTACTTTTTTGTGTGTGTGTGAGGAAGATTGTCGCTGAGCTAACATCTGTGCCAGTCTTCCTCTATTTCATATGTGGGACACCACCACAGCATGGCTTGATCTGTGCCCAGATCCAAACCTCTGAACCCTGGGCTGCCAGAGAGGAGTGCATGAACGTAAGCACTATGCAATGGGACGGCCCCTCAGATTCTTCTCTATATCATAGTGTTGCATCATCAAATGAGAGTGAATTTGATTAACATGCTAATTCAATTAAAAGAGAGTAAAATAATCCATCAAATCCGTCTGGCGATTTCCCTGCCTTTTGACCCTGTATGTGTCCACGCCCAGGTCGGTGGAGATGTGAACCTGCGCGTGTCTCAGTTGGGTCCAGTTCCAACGTGCCTGTCACAGAGTGACTAGCTCACCCTTTTGAGTGCCATCCTAATGTTTAACAATGCATGAAGTTTCTACAACACGGCCAGCAAATGCAAGCCAAGGATTTCATCGGGTGCTCCGGCCAAGAAACAGGATCTGTTCCACAACTGGGAGGAAAACTAGTTGTCCTGAACTTTTTGAGAGACAGCACAGGCTTCAAGGCGGTGCCTTCCAAAGGGATTTTCAAAGGTAACCTTGACTACACATAATTTTAAACTCACACGAGAAATTCGGAACAAAACTTGGAGTGGACTGAGGCTTTGCTAGCTCTCACACTTCTTGATGTATTGCACATGGTAGGGACCCAAATATTTATTGATGATTAAGACAGAAAGATGGCTTTATGCCATGGCTCGTTGAGGCCTACTGAGATGACACAGCATCATAGCACACCTCGCCTACTTCTAGAATAATAAATATAAGAGTGGTAGCAGCAGCAGCAAATCCCTGCAATGATCTAAAAAGGTAGATATTATTAATAACTGAATTTTACAAATAAAGAGACCAAGGTTGCCCAGAGTGATTAAGTAAGTAAGTAAGCCCACCGAGGTAGTCAGGTGCAGTGGCAGAGAGCAGACACTACCCTCTGCCCCATCCTGCCCTTGGCCCTCCGTGGTTAATTGCCCGTCTCCTTGTCTGTCTCCCCCATAAGCTGGTAAGCTCCTTGAAGACAGGAACTGTGACTTATCTAGGTTTCTATCCCCCAAACCTGGCTTCTAATCTCTGCGTGTTTAACACAAAGACTATCCTCTGGGGGAATTTATAATGAGGAAAAGAGGGTAACAGGGCATCCTCGGATCAGCATGTCAAAAGATTACTCACTATGGCTTAGTGTCCCCAAAAGTCTCTTACAATATGTCTATCAAAGACCAAGAAGTCCCTCTGAACTCTGTATTCTGTTTTTTCTGCCTTTTCATTGGTTGAAAGAAAACTGAAGCCAGAATTCTGAAGAAGTGTACACAGTATATTATGAGAGTCTATTGTATTAAATATTCCTACATGAGCTCAGTTACACATGGCCCTCTTTGAAATGCCCAACACTTTGGAAATTTTCATGTACTATAACAAACCAGTGTATCATTTACAGTTGGTTATCTGGTGATTTTGGACATTTCTATAAAAAGTTGAGTATTAGGGGGTCAGCCTGGTGGCGCAGTGGTTAAGTGCGCATGTTCCGCCTCGGTGGCCCGGGGTTTGCCGGTTTGGCCGGGTGCGGACATGGTGCCGCTTGTCCAGCCATGCTGTGGCAGGTGTCCCACATATAAAGTAGAGGAAGATGGGCACGAATGTTAACTCAGGGCCAGTCTTCCTCAGCAAAAAGAGGAGGATTGGTAGCAGATGTCAGCTCAGGGCTAATCTTCCTCAAAAAAAAAAAAAAGTTGAGTATTAGGCTTTTGGGGGCACGATCCTCTATGAAGACAGCCCTCTTTCGGTGGGAAAATCAGATTCCACAGATGCTGCCTTCCCTAGGCATTAAATGTGGAAACTAGTTCTGTTATTCTCAGTTATTACCTTGTTCTAGAGACATTTCAAATGTCAACTGTACAAAAACTAAAATTTAGTCAGCTAAAATCCCATAATATCAGCCATTAATGTAAGCCAAGAAGCAAAAATATATTACAATCTACCAGGGTTAGCATTCTCTGCTAATTATTTAATTAAGTTAATTATCCTTAGGGTAGAGAATTACATGGTCATTGATTTTATGCTCTGTATATAGCACAAGAGCAAAAGAAAAATCGTATCCAATCAAAAGCTGTTAAATTGCGCCTGAAGAACATACCCATTGTGGAATTTAGAAATGACCATAATAGGCCCAAAGGACTCCTCTTTGGCAAGATACATGTGGTCTTCCACGTCCGTGAAGACAGTTGGTTCCATAAAAAAGCCTATTTCAAAAACAGAAGAAAAGAACATCAATGATAGGGTAAGTAATTTTCAATTAATTGTTCTCTCATTGAATTACGTTATAAATTTTTTCTTCCCTTCTGAGTCAGTAAAATCGAGATGACTTTCATTTTCCTATTGGGCATCAGCATTCCTAGGTTCTTATTTTTGTTGTCTTTATTTTAAAAATTTCAAACATATATGAAAGTAGAGAGTAGAATAATGAATAATAAAATAAATACTTATTCACATTTTGCTATATTTGATTCATTTTTCCCTTGCTGAAATAGTTGAAAGCAAATCCCAGAGATTACAACATTTACCTCCAAGTATGTCAGTACAAATCTGTGAAAAATAAGGACATTTTCTCACATATCATAATACATTATCTCACTAAAGAAATTAATGCTAATTCTTTATTTATAGTTTATATTTCAGTTTCTTTTAACTTTTAATTTTTTTAATAAGATATGATTGACATGCATTATATCAGTTTCCGGTGTACAAAATAATGATTTGATATTTGTATTCAATTTCTGATTGTCTAGTAAATATCTTTTATAATTGGTTTGATTCAGGATTCAAATAAGTTCTACACATTGCATGTGGTTGTTAGATCTCTTGAGTGTCCTTTAATCTAGAAAATTTCCTCCCTTCTCTCTGCCCCTTCTGTTCCGTGCCATCGACTTGTTAAATAGACTGAGTCACTTGTCCTGTAGAAGATCTTGCAGTTCAGATTTGTCATTGCTTCCTGGGATGATGTTTAATTTGTTCCTCCATCCCCTGTATTTCTTGTAAATGGAAAATTTGACCTACAGGCACCATCAGATTCAGGTTAAACATAGTTGGCAAGAACACTTTCTAGATGATGCTGTGTGTTACATGCTGCTTCCCAGGAGACACATCATATCCAGCTGGCCTGCCTTCACTGACGCTAAGATTGGCCAGTGGTTCCATGTGGTGACAACTTGACCCCTCCATTGTAAAACTGAGTTTTTCTCCTTATGACTGGCAATCAATCTTGGGGGTGGTACCTTGCAAATATCCAGATCCCCATCAAGCTGTCACCTAATAACTTCAGCCTCCCTTGATGATCATTGCCTGAATCCATTATTTCATTCAATTAGGCGATACAAAACAGTGCTTTTTCTAGTCAATAGTTTTTTCTACATTTATTAGCAGGGATCCTTCTGGAAAAAAAAATGTCTCCTTTATTAGTTACATGGTTACCCAGAAATTTATTTCATACAGGATACATGGGATAAATGTTGAATTTTTTCCTTCCAATTACCAGTTTTCAGACTAAGGTGTTGGTACACAATCTACCCACAGCAGTGAAAAGTGAGTTTTTCCAGTTGTTTGTTTTTTATCTCCTTTTGGTTATCAACACATCGAGCCATTCACACACTTCTGTAACAGGTCCTGCTTTAGTCAACATGAACGAATTCCTCCCAGGCTACATTGGCTCAGAGCAAATCTCACTGTGCCAGGAACAAAGGTCACTGTGCCTGAATAACACACTTATTCATTCCACTTGGTTACTGTACAGCTAAGGGCCTGCCACATCCATTTTGTTATTTGATTTTCACAGCTTTGTAAAGCAGGATGTGCACATTTCATCCCACTTTACAGTTGAGAAAAACTGGGTTGTCCAAAGTGCCACAGTTTGGAAGTGGCCAAGCAGGATCTAGAAAGTAATTCTTCTGATCATAACATAAATGCCACCATTTACTTTTGAGCCAAGACGGTGCTGCAATGAACACTGTGAGCATTCGTTCCAACTTAACAAGCTAGGCGCCCTGGACACCTCCTACAAAGGTGACCTTACCTGGCCTGGGGACCTGTTTCCCGCCGTATACCAAGGTGGCCCCCTCTTTCACTCCAGTTTCACAGTACTGCAGAAGCTTTTCCAGATGGGCCTTATGATTTTGGGGCCCGTGGTCAGTAGATCTGTCAAGTGGATCGCCAATTTTCATCTTTTTAATTTCTTCCACCTGCGTATCACCCAAGCCGCAAAACACAATTGACTATTAGTAATAATAAAGGCTACCCTCTGACTGAGCTGCTACCACGTGGTGGGTGTTGTATTAAGCTGTTGAAAGATGTGTTGTCATTTAGTCTTCAAAGCAGCTGGAGGTAGGTATTTATTAGTTTCATCTCACAGGTGAAGACACTGAGGCTAAGAGAAGTTAAGTGACACACTCAAGGGCACACAACCACCAAATATTGTCGAGTTTTCCTGACTTGAAAGCTGAAGCTTTTAACCACTGAGTTCTACCTGAACATAAGCTATACAGGCTATTTTAAAATTCTCTTGAATGTTAATCCATTAAAATAGCAAACCTGAGATTCTGGAATTTTTATTCACACAGCATACTTACACTCTTCATGGCAAAAGAATTTCTAAAACGGCCACATCGTTATCTTTTTTCTCTCCCCAAATGTGGCAGACTGCCCTTGTGAATTCCCACGGGATAGCCCTGCCACAGGAATAGCTAGAATGTTCCAGTGAAAAAGCATCTTTCTCACACAATGTTCATCACTGACATGTCTTTGTGACCGCTTCTTGTCCTCCTTGGTGATCTTAATCTATTTCTGCATTTTCTAACGTCAAGTTCAACTCTAGTAATAAGGAAGAATGAGAGCTACTGTGACCCCTCAGGGCCATGCATTTGAATTTAGGCCTGGCAATAACTCCTCAGTCAGTGTTCATGAAATAGCTGCCGAATGAAGAAATGAATACAAATTGCATGTGTGCAAAACACGTTTGTGGATGGACTGAGGCAGTAAATCCTCGACATTTCTGGTTTTGGCATTTGAAATCTCAACAAGTTATAGCTGTGAAAGCCCATGACATGCAGCATTGTAACTGTATTTTACTGAGGCACGAAACTGAATTACAGGGACGTTCAGGAGGCAGCTGCTGCCACCATCTGCCTCTCCACAGGACTGCCTTCTTTTCCACTCTCTTGAAGAAATAATGTCTTTGCTTCTTAGGGGTGGGTGGGGGAAGTGGCTCTGAAAAAAAGAAAAGCTAGGTGCTGGTTTTTCAAATATAAACAAACTCATGATTACTATTACCATCATAATGATATAATATAGCGTAGTTTAGAGTTTATTTTGGCCACAGAATTCATGTTGATAGTTCTATAAATGGCTTTTAATCCCATATTTATGGAGTCATGATCAATCTACCTGGGTTATTTATGTATCTAACTGCCTGTCTGTCAATCTATCTATTTATTTTAGTGGAGGAAATTATATGCTGTCATGTTAGCTGTCAACTGAGGATGTGTAAGGATACCTTATCAGGTTTTTTTATATAGACCTGTAACTTTTTACTATGAAAAATTATAAACACATGTAAAAGCAGACAAGTAATGAAACTCCAAGTGCCCATCACTCAGCTTCAACAATTACCAACTCATGGCCAATTTTTTCCCCCACTCACTTCCTCCCCTCCTGGATTATTTTGAAGCAAAGTTCAGACATCGTGGAATTTAACCTGTCAATATATCAGAAAATAGCTCTAAAAGATAAGGACTCTGTTGTTTTTTAAAAAGTACAACTACAGTACTGTTATCATACCTAAAACTTCATTAATAATCCAAGAAGTACTTTGCAAGGAGAAGCAATTTTTCTACAACGCATAGAGCAGACTTGAAGATGCCTTACCACTCTGGTCACAAATTCATCGTGGATGGATTCTTCCACGAACAACCTCCCAGCGGCAATACAGTTCTCTCCTTTGTTGAAAAATACTGCTCCCATGCCCTTCGGCAGCAGAAGAGAAAATATTGTTACCATTACTTGGGAACAGTCAAGATTGTCATAAGATTGCACACATGGAGAATCAGACGTTATTGGAAGACAGCAAACACCACAGAAAGGACAAAGAAAAACACAATCCCTTTAGTGAGGAGAACGGCGTGGAGATACTCAGTTTCGATGTAATATGTTTTTAGGAATTTTGTTTTCCTTTCCCACTTTTGGTCCATGAGCACTTTCAAAAAAAAGTGTGTAATAATATGGACATACCACTAAGGGCAAATTTTGTGTTGCAAGAAAATCTGGATTATTCTATACATGTAAATGTAATACTCGTATGTCAAATTTTGCATTTGTATCAGTTTGTATCAATCATGACTATTTAGAAGAACTCGCTTACCCCCCAAGTTGTAAAACACCTTAATGAGACAGATGATAAGGACATTATTTTAAAAATTAAGTGCTCAGAGTATCCCCAAATGTAAGCATAAAGAAGACGGTTTCTGTTTACGGCTAGACAGAACCCAATCTCATTCTAAGATTTCTGATAAGCAAGGAGGAGAAATGTGTTTTAGAAGTGGGCACCTAGGGGGCCAGCCTGGTGGCACAGAGGTTAAGTGTGCACATTCAGTGCCCAGGGTTTGCTGGTTCGGATCCCGGTGCGGACATGGCACCACTTGGCAAGCCATGCTGTGGTAGGCATCCCACATATAAAATAGAGAAAGATGGGCACAGATATTAGCTCAGGGCCAGTCTTCCTCAGCAAAAAAGAAGAAAAAGAAAAAAAAGAAGTGGGCACCCATTTCCTTGGACTTGACCCTCTCTTACCATTCTCACGGCCTTGTCAAGTTCACAGTCATTGAATATTATAAGCGGGGATTTGCCACCAAGTTCAAGGGAAACTTTCTTCAAGTTACTCAGAGCACAGCTAGAGGAAAATAAAGGGGAAATGAGCATTTTAGTCTGTCCATCTATCAGTTTCTCTGTCTCTTGCTTTTTCAACCATAAATTACTACTTGGCATGGAAAACATAATTGAGCTTCAGAAATATTAAGAAACGTATTCAAAGATAAACATGAATAGTGCAATGGTGATAATTGTTGAAGCTGGATGATGAGCACATGGAGTTCATTCTAATATTCAGGGTGCTTTGTGGGTATTAGAAATTCTCCATGACAAAAAGTTGTATCTTTTCTAAAACTAGAAAACTCTTAGATAAAAACAGTAGACTGAATTTTCCTGTAGGTTAGACAAAAATTTCTTAGGTAAGATATCAAAAGCATAAGTGATAAAAGAAAAAAATTTATAAATTGGACTTCATCAAAATTAAAAACTTTTGTGCTTCAAAAGATCCCATTAAGAAAGTGAAAAGATAAGGCACAGAAGAAAATATTGCAAATCATACATGTGACCAAAGACTTGTATCCAGAATGAAGAGCTGAAATTAGAATTCAAGAACAAGTAGAAAAACCGTCCAATTAAAAATGAACCAAAAAATTGAACAGATGTTGCACAAAAGAAGACATAGGAATGGAAAATAAGCATATGAAAAAATGTTCAACATCATTAGGGAAGCACAAATTTAAACCACAATGATATACCACTTAATGCTCACTAGAATAGTGATAATCAAAAGACAGTAAGTGTTGGCAAGGATGTGATAAATTGGAATGTCACTGCTGGTGACAATGTACAATGGTGCAGCCACTTTTGAAAATGGTATGGCAGTTTCCTAAAAATGTTAAACATAAATTTACCAAATGACCTATAAATTATGCTCTTAGATATCCACCCAAGAGAAATAAAAACGCACATCAATGCAAAAACTTGTATGTGAATGTTCATAGCAGTATTATTCAGTAAAAATGGAAAAAAACCCAATGTTTATTAACTGATGACCGGATAAACAAAATGTGGTATATACACATAACTGAACATTATTTGGGAATAAAAGGAATGAAGTACTAATACGTGGTACAATAAGGATGAACCTCTGGGGCCGGCTCGGTGGCACAGCGGTTAATTTCGCACATTCCACTTCAATGGCCCAGGGTTCGCGGGTTCGGATCCCGGGTGCAGATGTGGCACCGACTGGCAAGCCATGCTGTGGCAGGCGTCCCACATATAAAGCAGAGGAAGATGGGCATGTATGTTAGCTCAGGGCCAGTCTTCCTCAGCAAAAAGAGGAGGATTGGCAGTAGTTAGCTCAGGGCTAATCTTCCTCAAAAAAAAAAAGAATGAACCTCAAAAATATTGGCGAAGTGAAAGAAGCCAGATGCAAAAGTTCACATATTGTATGATTACAATTATATGAAATAATCAGAAAACATAAAGCTATAGATCCAGAAAAGAGATTAGTGCTTGGCTAGGGTTGGGGGTGAGAACAGAAGGTGACTGCAAATGGGCACTAGGGATCTTTTGGGGTAATAGAAATATCCTAAAATTGTATTATGGAGATGGTTGCACAACTGTACATTTATGAAAAACCATTACATTGTACACTTAAAACAAATGAATTTATGTATGTAAATTATACCTAAATAAAGCTGTTAAAAAAAAAAAGTTGTATCTTTTCAAATTCTGCAGTCAAATGATTGGAGATCCTCATAGGTAAACTTAGATTCTTTAGGTATAAAAATTTTAGTTACATAAAGGCCTGGCAAGGAATTTAACCTCTAACCAGATTACTGGAGTATTGGAGGAAAAAAACATAGATTTTTAGAAGTATACTATTTCCCCCTTCTTACAAAAGTATTGTTATTTAAAACATTTAAAAAATACCCCAAAAAATTCAGAAAGAAGAAATAAAATGACAAAATTCCATTCCATGACTCCATAATCATTGTTTTTACCATTTTGATATACTTATTTCTAGTCTGTGTCCAACCATAGCCTTTGCCTTATTTAAAATAATGGAGATTACCCAAAACACAATTTTATACCTCATTTTTCTTTCCATTTACCATTTTAACAACACTTTTCAATGTTATTAAAAATGCTCCATGGACATGACTGCACAGTATTCCGTTATGTTAACATACTTTAATCACTGCCCTTTTTCTTTTTTTGTTGTGAATAAGATTGGCCCTGAGCTAACATCCGTTGCCAATCTTCCTCTTTTTGCTTGAGGAAGATTGTCACTGAGCTAACATCTGTGCTAATCTTCCTCTATTTTACATGAGATGCTGCCACAGCATGGCTTGACAAGCAGTGCTAGGTCCACGCTCAGGATCCAAACCTGTGAACCCCAGGCCATCAGAAGAGGAGGACACGAACTTAACCACTATGCTGCCAGGCCGGCCCTAATCATGCCTTATTTTTGGCATTTAGGTTGTTTGCAAATTTCTAAAACTAATGTAACTGCTTTTTAGGAATTCATTTAATAAATAATCCAGATTTGTCATTTATATGTCTCCTGAGTTTCTTACTTATGCTCCAGAGACAATTTGGGCCGCAGCTTTAGTACAGAAAATGTTTTGTGCTGGGTTGTTAAGGCTGCCAGAAGGGTATAGAATTTCCATATGGCTCTCGTTTCATTGACTTTGGGCTTTACGCTTTGGAAAGTATTTTATTACATTCCCGCACTTCAATACCCTGCAGTGACAAGTAGATTTCTCCTCTAAATTTGATGTGGTTTTTCTTCCTCCAAAAGCACCCTATTTAAAAACGCAAAAACAAAACCAAAAACGTGGTTTAACAGGATTTTTGGCAAATCAACATCCTAAAACCAATACCTCTTCATGATCTGTTTGCCAATAAGAGTGGACCCAGTGAAACCAAGCTTGCGGATATCAGGATGTTCAGAAAGGCGTTGTCCTGCTGTGCCACCTGTGGAGTTAGGGAAGAAAACATGAATTACAACATCACTCGAGTTCTTATGGTGAGGGGGGCTTTGAACTCATTAAAGTCACTTTCTGAGCTCTCATTTAAATTTTAGCTTTACATTTTCTGTATGGATTACAAGCTGACAAACATCTAAATAATGTCCTCCATGCAACTGTCAGCCCCCTCCAAAAAATGAGTGAGCCTTGGTTTGGCTTCCAAAGTAATTGTTAAGAATTGAAACAGGCCACTGTAGGGTAGTTTGACAATGTTGTACAATTTGCGTCCTTCACACCCTGCTCACTCATTATATTTCCACTTCAATGTTTTCAGGACATGGTAAGTGTATTTATCCTTAAGTTGACTGTTTGGTAAACTGTGTTTAGTCTTAATATAGTTATAATTCAAGATAAGACTTCAGTGGGAAAGCAGCCGTTCGGCTAGCCCTGTACCATTCATTAGCTACAGCCAGGCGGGTCCTTTGATGCCTACCTGAGCCTGGGAGGATGTTGATGACCCCCTTGGGGAAGCCTGCTTTAGCAGAGAGCTCTGCGAACTTCAAAGCAGTCAAGGGCGTGACCTGAGCAGAAGCAGACAGCAATTACCTTCTTCAGATTCTGTCCTGTCCTGTAGACCAGTACCTGTCTTCCCTTTATGGCTGGGTTAGAGTTTATTTCATTTTTTCTTTTCTTTTGATGTAATTTCAGACTGACAGCAAAGTTGCAAAAATAGTACAAAGAATTCCTATATATTTGTCACCCAGACTCCTCAAGTGTTAACATTTCCCTACACTTGCTTTATCCTCTCTCTTTTTTTTTAAAAGATTTTATTTTCCCTTTTTCTCCCCAAAGTCCCCCAGTACATAGTTGTGCATTTTCTAGTTGTGGCATGTGGGACGCTGCCTCAACGTGGCCTGATGAGCTGTGCTATGTTTGTGCCCGGGATTCGAATCGCCGAAACCCTGGGCCACTGAAGCAGAGCACACGAACTTAACTACTCGGCCATGGGGCGGCCCCTCTCTCTCTATTTTTTTCGAAACTGCTTAAGAGTAAGATATAGACGTGCCCCTTTACCTCTAAATAACTCTGTGTGCATTTCCTAAAACGAATAATTCTTTTACATAACCACAGTACAATGATCAAAATCAGGACACTACCAACGGACAGAAATCCTAATTTACAGACCTTATTCAGTTTTCACCAACTGTCCCAATAATGTGCTTTATAGAAAAAGAAAATCCAAGATCATACATGGCAGTTAGTTATCATGTCTGTAGTCTCCCTTAATCTGGAGGAGTTTTCTTATATATTTCAATGCATTAACATTTTTTATAAGTATAGGCCAGTTATTTCAGACAACGTCCCTCCCTCTGGATTTGTCTGCTGTTTCCTCATGTTTAGATTCAGGTCATGCATTTTTGGCAAGAATACCACAGGAGCAATGCTGAGTTCTCCTAAGTGCATCGTATCAGGAGACACATGCTGTCACATAGTCCCGATATTGGAAATGTTCATCTGGGAGAGGTGGCCTGCCAGGTTTTATCACTGTGAGTTACTTTTTATACTTTGTAATGAATAAATATTTTATAGGAAGATACTTTGAGATTATTTAAACATCCAGTTACTCCTGCACTGGTTTTATCCATTCGTTTTAGTATCCACTGATGATTCCTGCCTGAAGCCATTATTATGATGATGATTGTTAAATGGTGATTTTTGATCATTCCTTCTACGTGTATTAGTTGGCTTTCCACAAAAGAGCTTCCTCTTCTCTTTAATAATTCATTAATTCATGTGAACTCATGGATTCTTACTTTACTCAAAGGTTATAATCTTTTGCTATTGTTACTTCTTTCGATGTTCAAATTGTTCCAGATTTGGCCACTGGGAGCCCCTTCAGTACGGCTCTGCGTCTTTCTCACATGTCCCTATCCTTCTTTGAGCATTTCCTTGCTTTTTGGCCCAACAAGATGTTCCAGGCACATCTTATATTTTGCCTGCTCCAGCCATTTCTTCAGGAGCTAAGGTTTCTTTTAGTGGAGAATGGTATTTAAAAACTACGATATAATGGGAAATATATATTTGGTCTTTGTCTCTGGGTCCCTGGCACACGGTTCCGAAAACCTTGGAATCTCTGGAGTGAAAAGTGTCTATTGTATACTAGTGAGATGACTGGTGGCTGGAGCCCCCAGGTAGCTTCAGGATGGGGTCGGGTCTTGAGAAAGACCAAGCCATGACTAGAGGGTTGGGACTTTCAGCCCAACCTTAGGGAAGTGGAAGGGGCTGGAGATTGAGTTCCATCACCCACAGCCAATGATTTAATCAATCATGCCTAGGTAATGAAATCTCCATAAAAACCCCTAAACAATGGGGTTCAGAGAGCTTCCGGGTTGGTGACCTCACCCATGTGATGGGAGGGTGGCTCACATGAACTCCATGGGGACAAAAACCCCTGTGCTCATGACCCTTTCAGATCTCACCCTATACGCCTCTTCCTCTGACTGTTCATTTGTATCCTTTATAATAGCCTTTATAATAAACCAGTAACAGTGAAGTGCTTTCTTGAGTTCTATGAGCCATTCTGGCACATTACTGCACCCGAGGGCGGGGGTCACAGAAACCTCTGATTCATAGCTGGTTGGTTAGAAGTACAGGAGGCCACGGCTTGCACTTGGCATCTGAAGTGGGGGCAGTCTTGTGGAACTGGGTCCTTCACCTGTGGAGTCTGTGCTAAACTCCAGGTAGTTAGTCTCAGAATTGAAGTGAACTGTAGGACACCCAGTTGGTGTCCAGAGAGAGAATAGGTTGGTAGGGGAAAAAAACACCCACACATTTGGTGTCAAAAGTGTCATGAGTGAAAAAATATCAGAATTTTAGAAACCAAGATCTGGGCACTATTAGAGTGTCATTCTAGGCCCTTTCAGCAGACAAGGCTGGGAGAGAGATGTATGCATATATGTATGTACACACATCTCCCTGTCTATCTGTCTATCTGTCTATCTAACTATCTACCTATCTACCTGTCTATCTATCCATCCCCACATATACCTACATCCATTTCTTTATCTAGCTTTCTAAATGTGTTAAAACCCGTGAGTTTACACTGATACCTCTATCCAATATTTCAGGGTTCATTCTATCCTTCCCCTTTTTTGTAATTGTAACTTTCTCCTCCAATGGTGAGAAATATGGCTCCCATTTTCTACAATAAGTATATTTACTTATTTGCTCAGTCCTAAACCGTACATATAGAAAGTAATCTGAGAATTAAGCCATGTCGCTATGAAAAAGAGGTCTAGTAACTAGAATTTTATCTTGACGGGCAGTGTTTTTTTCCTTTAGTCTGAGGACATGTCATCCGAATGTTACTCAAAAGTTCCTGGGGTCAGTGCTTCCTCTCACTCCCGTCAGTGTGGTGATGGTATTCATTTGAAAGATGGCTTAACTAATTTGTTTTCGTTTGTATTCAATTTTAGGGGTTTTGCCCCATCTCGGTTGACGATATTTCTTTTCTTTGTTCATTTGTTGTCATTGTTGGGTAGGGAAAATTGCTGCCCAAAGTGAGGACTGTACAAAAGGTACCTTCAGAGCAGTCTTCTCCTCTCTCCCCTTTCCCTCTGTCCCTTCCAGCCCATCGCCCCATGTCCTGGAGATAATCCGTCTCATTAGTCTCCGAGTTAGCCTCCGTATGTTTCTTTTTGCTCAGATGAACATATACAGTTTCTTATTTTCCCCTCCTTCTTACATAAAAGGTAGCATAATATGGATCTCATTTTAAACATCTATTACAGCAATGCATATCGCAGAAGCAAAATGAAAGTCGTATTTTCACACTCTTAAAAATTCATGCTGGGCCAGCCCTGGTGTCCTAGTGGTTAAGTTCAGTGCACTCCGCTTTGGTGGCCCGGGTTCGGTTCCTGACTGTGGACCTACATCACTCATCTGTCAGTGGCCATGCTGTCATGGCGGCTCACATACAACAAGTGGAAGATTGGCAACAGTGTTAGCTCAGGGTGAATCTTCCTCAGCAAAAAGAGGAAGATTGGCAATAGGTGTTAGATGTAAGCTCAAGGTGAATCTTCTTCAGCAAAAAAAAAATAGAAGAAGAAGAAAAGAAAACAAAGAAAAAGAAAAAAAGTCAATGCTGATTAAGTCTTAAATTAGTACTTTGTAAGCTTAGTCTGAAAAACTGGAATGTGCAAAAGATCCATTGAGGTGTGAATAGAAAATAGTAGAACTTCTATTTACATAGCTTAACTGATAACGATATGAAATGGATCAAACATAAGTAACATTTATTATATGGCTGGATCCTGGCACTCTCAGTGAGCGAAGGTCAGATGGTCACAGGTGTGTGCAGGGTCCTAGGAAAGAACAGGAGCTCACAGGGCCAAGGGGATGACTGGTTCCCTCACTCGCTCATCTGCTTTCAGAATCTGCCACATGTTGAAGTTTAGTGCCTGGTTACGCGGATCCACAGACAACAATGTTATTCTAACTAACCCAGCCTTCATCAAACGGGCAAGCGGCTGAAAAGGAATCTGCATAGAAACTGCATAATACACAATAATAGTAACAAGGCAAACACAAGCAAATAATGAGAAAAAGGCAGGGCTAACATTTTTCCTCCTTCTAGTAACAGAGCCATGACAGTAAAATTGTGAGGTTTTAAAAAATGGCAATCTGGTTAGACTCAATGAGAAGTCGGCCCCAAACATTTGAAATGATCAAGAAGATATTTGAAATAGTAGATTTATACCTACTATAGTTGAAGATGACCCTAGCCCAAAGTGTATATTATTATGCTTTGGTATGAAATCAGGATTAAAAAGACATTTAAAAACTAACTATCCTGAATTAAGGATAATTGTCTTTAGGTAAGAACAAAAAGATTGTTTATATCATTAATAAATAAAATAAAACAAATTGTTTCTCTTTATCTCATCTCCATTTCTATTGGTTTTCTTCCATTTGGCTGTCCAGTTGTCCCGGCAGGATTATAGGTTTAAGTGATATATGGGAAAGCATCTAGCAGCATTCAGGGCAAGAGTAGGTCATTGCCAAATATCAGGTTAATAAAGGTGTCAGAACGTGTCAGATCCGGACCACTCCAGGCCATGGGAATCTGCACCTTCGGATCAGATTAAAGGAGAAGAGCCATCTAATTCAGACCTCCTGACATTCACACAGGCCCTCAATACCGTAAATGATTTCACATCATCATTGCATAATATTACGCAATAAAATAAAAAGATGTCTCCAACATAACAATGGCAACTTTGGGTCTTTCATTTTTAGGATTAAAATTATCATCAACCATTAAATTATCAGTTTTAAGTTACAGATAGAGCTAGACTATAATTTCCACGGGACAGAAACTTTGTGCATCTTCTTACTGATAATGTGCCTGGCAATATATGTATGCAATCAGCGTTTGTAATTTTTGAACATTCTATATCATCATTGGAGTTCTTCGATGTTTAGCGCTCTCATTGGACACCACATAGTGGTTCTCAACCCTGGCTCTACCTTGGAAACAAATGTGAAACTTTTAAGTAATACCAATGCCTGGGCTCCAACCTAGACCAATTAAGTCAGAATCTCTGCCAGTGGGGCCCCGATGTCAGTATTTTTTAAAGAGAACTCAAGGTGATTCTAACGGGCAGCCAGGATCGAGTACCACTGGGCTAGGTTATCGGCCTCCTCTCTTCACTCTGCCGGCTTCTTGCTGTTTAAGGGGTGGTGCTTCTTGGGGGAAGAGCACTCTTACAGGACGCTGTGAGCTGGTACAGTTCCCACAGAAGGGTTTGTCCATCTCCATCACACAAATACACGTACCTTTTAACTCAGCGATTGTGCTATTCGGAACACATCCTATAAATATATTTCACATGTCTGTGATGCCATATTTACAAGGTTATTAACTGTAGCATAGTTTATATTAGCAAAAGGGTGGGAAAATCTAAATATCCATTAATCAGGAAGTTGTTGAATAAAATATGGTTTATCTATATAATAGAATACGATGAGATATTGTTTATACAATAGAAACTGTTAAAAAAAAAAGGAAGATTTTTTTCCTTTGGTGAGTATGTACAGAATGCTACTTTGTTTATTTTATAATTTTATTTTATCATGGTAAGAATACTTAACATGAAATCTACCCTCTTAACAAATTTTTAAGTATATAATACAATATTATCAACTATAAGTACAATGATATACAGATTTCTAGAACTTATTCATCTCGTATAATTGAAACTTTATGCCCGTGAATTAGCAATTTCCCATTTCCCCTTCTCCCTTCTTTGTGTTTTTCAATAGAGTAAAATAAACATATATTTACATATGTTCACATATGCAGAGTATTTCCGGAATACCTAAGAAATTAATAAAAAACACTCACACGGTTGCCCCTGCGGAGGTAAACTGGGCGGCTGGGAGAACAGGAACAGCAGGCAGATCTTTCACTATCGGTCTCTTTGTACTTTTTGAATTTTGAAATTTTTGAATGCATAACTATTTGTTACACGAAATTATTTTTAATGAGTAAAACAGGATGGCTGTGGTCACACGACCATGTAGCCGTGCCAAATGAAATTGTATTCTTTTAAATCATAAAAGAAAAAATAAAAGAAGAGTTGTAGGGCATGAACCGCAAACTCTTCCAGAATGGAGACCGAGTTTTCTCTATGACTTGTGCACCTCGGTGTGTCCACTACTATGCACTGTACACAGTAAATACTCAGCCAGGTGTTAAGTTGGCTATCATATATTTTTTTGAAATGCTATTATTGCATTAAAAGATTTTTTTGAGACCTCCATCATCTGAATTATTCTTTTCTTTTCCTTTTTTTTTTTTTTTTTGCTGTGGAAGATTAGCCCTGAGCTAACATCTGTGCCAATCTTGCTCTACTTTTATATGTGGGTCGCCACCACAGCATGGCTGACAAGTGGTGTAAGTCTATGACTGGGATCCAAACCCGTGAACCCAGGCTGCTGAAGTAGAGTGGCACCGAACTTAACCAGTACACCAAAGGGCCGGCTCCTGAATTATTCCTTTTTTATTATTTCCTTGTTACCCACAAGTATATATTTTCACACAACTGCCACAATTAGGTACATTCTTTTGCATGCTTTTCCCTCATCTTCCATATCTTTAAAACATTTTTAATAATTAAAATTTGAATCCTGTATAATACTTTTTCTTTTGATGTTTCATAGTTACTCTAAATAATTCCCTAATTATTGGGCAGTTGGCGTTTTGCAAGAATTGAACTGGTTTGTAGAAATTCAGTGCATTTCACTGATGCACACTATGTTTGCTTTCATTGTCATGGAAGTTGTAAATTGTGGAATCTCATAGGATGCATTGGGTAGCTATTAAAAATGAGTATTTACTAATACAAAAAGATGCCCATAATATATGAAAAGATGTCATAATATACAACTCCTTTTTTGTTTAAAGACCTAATATTTATAAATGTACATCTCTGGGTTTTTTTGTTGTTGTTGAGGAAGATTGGCCCTGAGCTAACATCTGTGCCCATCTTCCTCTATTTTGTATGTGGGATGCTGCCACAGCATGGCTTGCTGACTGGTGTGTAGGTCCGTGCCTGGGAACTGAACCTGGGCCACCAGAGTGGAGTGCACTGAACTCAACTACTAGGCCATGGGGCTGGCCCCTGTATGCCTCTGTTTTTAAGTTAACAGGAGAGGAGGAGACTTTGCACCTGGTCCCCACATCTCACCTGCGCTGGCTTCAGCACCAAGGTGTTGCCTGCTGCCAAGCACGCGGCGCTCTTCCACGCCAGCATCATCAGCGGGTAATTCCAGGGGATGATGATGGCACAGACGCTGCAGGGAGGGAAGACGGCATCCTTAGTCGTCTCAGAACAACACAGCTCCCGCAGATCCCTCACACGCTCTCCTTGTCTTACCCAAGCGGCTCCTTCTTGGTAAAGGTCAGATTGCGATTGGGACGGGCCTGGTTGATGGGAATCGTAGAACCCTAAACCACAAAAAAAGGTGATACTTATTTTACTAACTGAAGTTAGTAAATTTAATCTCAAAGAATGCATTTTCTGTCTGCTTTTCTTATTTTTTCTTAGCTGATATGAAAGGCAGTGTTTGATTTAAAGAAATATATCTGCACCAAAAAAGAAGCTGCTGTTCCTTTCTCGAAAGAACTGAGACACAGAAGAATAAACATAGTTCTAATTTCGTCACCTCCATTCCCAATTTCTTGGCACTGCAGAGAATGTTAATTGCCTGCCCCATATCAGTTCTCCCCTCTGACCTTAGTAACGGAAATCCTATATTGATAATGGGGATGGCAAGGTGCCCAGATAAAACACCGCTTCCCGTTTCCATAGCAGACAGGGATGATCAACGGAAGATGTAAGCACAAGACATTGGAAGGGGAATGCTCTTTAAAGTAGGCTGACTCAGCTCAGACAAGTGCCCTTTACCCTTCTCCCTACTCTCTCTTCTTCCTTCTTCCTGATCAGAAGGTTGCTGAAATGGCTGGCACTGCAGTGGTTATCATGAGACCATGAGACAGCCTTGAAAATGGAAGTCACATGGTACTAAGGAGGTCACAAGGCACTAAGGCCTGGCAGAGAGAGAAGAGCCTGTGCCTCACATACTAGCCCTGCCTGCCTTTGGACTCCTTGAAATTTAGAGAAAAACGAACTTCTTTGACTTTTCTGATATATGCAGCCAAACTTAATCCCAACTGATTGATGATAATAGTCTTCAACTGAAGCTATTTGATTATTTTGGCACATAAAGTATTATTGATATTCTAATACAAGTGTACAATCTCTTATCTGAAATCCTTGGTGCCAGGGCTGTTCTAGGATTCAGAATTTTTTTGACTTTAGAAACATAACAATACACATACCTTATATTATGTTATATTATCTATAACCCGCAAGTGGGTCTCGGGCAGCCCCCCATAATCAAACGCATTAATATTTATTCAGTGAAATGTACGAATATTCACTCTAAATGATATAAATAAAGATTAGAAATAGACTCATGTAGATTCAGGTCGGATTTTGGCACCAAATGAATTTGAACCAATCAAACAAATCAATTTTCAGGCTTCAGAACTATCTGGATTTCATAATTGATGATAAAGGATGAACCTGAACCACGATTGCTAAATACTTACATATGTATGGCTTTGTGGCTGAACAATAATAAAAACTACATTTATGTACAAGACCTACTATGCTGCAGACTTGTCTAATTCTGTAGTATATAAACATTTCTATCTTCTTTTTTTTTTTAAAGATTGGCACCTGAGCTAACATCAGTTGCCAATCTTCTTTTTTTCTTCTTCTCCCCAAAGCCCCCCGGTACATAGTTGTATATTTTAGTTGTGGGTCCTTCTAGTTCTGGCATGTGGGACACTGCCTCAGCATGGCCTGATGAGCCGTGCCATGTCCGCACCCAGGATCTGAACAGGTGAAACCCTTGGCTGCCAGAGCGGAGTGTGTGAACTTAACCACTCGGCCACAGGCTGGCCCCATAAACACTTACTCCTAATCCTCATTACATAACTTGAAGATATGTACTACTGTGACAATTTTACAGATGAGGAAAGTAGGCTCAGAGAGGCAAAATAAATTTAAAAACATCTGCTGGTAAGTGGCAAAGTTGAGACAGACCCAGGTCTGAGTCTATATTAATAGTGGTGGCAACAACGTGCCCAGAAAAAATACTATGCTCCTCAGTCTTCCTAGCAGATAGAGAGGGCCAGTGGGAGATAGAAACAGAAAGTATTGAGAGGGTAGGAATACTTTTTAAAGTCCTTTTACCTTTCTCCCTCTTCCCCACTTCTTCCTTCTTGCTGCTGGGACTGTGGCTGTGATGGCTGGTACTGCAGTGGTTATCATGAGTCTGTGAGTAGCATGCTTTCTGCTGTTTGCTATGAGCCCTTTCTTTCCCTTTTGTGTCCCCAATGCTAAGACCAAGTGTAGCTGTCATTTATCATCACATGTGCTATTTATTTTCTTACAGTAAAAAGGAAAATGAAATATTTATTGTACCCATGTCTTTAAAAATTGTTTTCTTTTACCCAGCCTGCTTAGCTCATCTATGTCAGCTCTCTGGCCTCTGGGGGCATTTGAGTTTGCAATCCCTCCATGATACCAGGATTCTTCCTGTATGTCCAGAAGACTACTAGATGCCCTCAGGAGACACTATAGCAAAGTACAAAGAACATCATTAGACTTCAGGTTCAGAAAGTCTTGAGTTCAAGTCCTAGCTCTAAGGTTTACTTACAACTATGTGACCATAGGCAAGTCATTCACTGTCCTCAAGCCTCCATTCCCTTAGCAGTAATAAAGGATGATAGCCATCCACCCACCTCAGATAATTGTTTTAGAGATTAGATGAGAAAGCCTACATTAGACATGGCTCTGACCCAGTGTCTTCACAGTCTAATAAATGTTCGTCCCTTTTCCTTTTGGAATGATCCGCATGAAGACAACTAACACTTGTGTACCTGAATTTTGTCACACCAGCCAGCAAAATATCTGAATGTTTGCACAGACATTCCAATGTGAGTCTTGAGAGCCAAGGTGTAGACAGCCCCTGAATCGAGAGCTTCAATGGTCGCCAGCTCCTCTTGGTTCTCTTCCAGTAGGTCTGCAAGTCTGTACGATCATGAAAGAAATTCATTCAGCAAATACTGATTGAGCCCCTCTTACGTATAAGGCACCATCCTGAGGGCTGAGAATTCAGAGGTGGACACAAATGGACCAGGTCTCTGTCCTCATGGACAATGTGGTCCAGCAGGGCAGACAGACATTAAACAAAGAATTTCACAAAGAATTTGTCTCAAGAGTTACAAAGGAGAAGCAGAGGGAAGTCTATATAATTTGCCTCATAAATGTGTAAGAAGTAGACCAGTGACTGAGCCACGGTAATCCAAGGAGATCCATGGAGATCAATGACATCCAAGGAGATCCATGGAGATCAATGACATCCAAGGAGATCCTTGACAGAAAACAGTGGGACTGTGGCTAGGTCAGGAATATTCAGGGAGAGGTTAGGGTGCAATCCACCCTCCTTGAGACCCCATGAACACTTGAGGCTTTCTGGTTGGTTCAGAAGTATTTCCAACACTAACTGAAGAGGACAAGATAGAAATGCATGGAATGAGTTACAGACACCACAACGGATTTTTGTTTGGTGTCCAGTTTCTATGGGAAGATAAGTCTAGGACTGTCTAACGATGATGAAATAGTCAAAATGCATCTTTCGTGTTCACCTCCGCCATTTGCTTTCTTTCCTTTAGTGGTTCTCCGAGCTGTTCCTTTTGGACCATCCCAAGGTCAAGCTTGAAATCATCCTCCCCTACTGTTTCTTCCAGACCCTGCTCTAAGAGAGCTTTTGACCAAGGTTAGGAGTTTAGCTTTCGGTAAGAGGAAAGTTGAATTTATGATCGAATCTAATTACTCTTAGCATACTCCGGCCTCAGTATTTTTCCCCCTTACTCCTATTCCCTACACATCAAGCTGATTTAAAATTTGTCTTTGAAAACAACAGGCTGCTGGATATCCTCCATCTGCTGCTCTCATCCATTCTCCATCCTGCTCTGAGACCCGGGAGGATGACCTTTATAGACTACATCCCCTGCTCCCCTGCTCTCTCTCTGGGCTTGGCCAATGAGAGGCCAATGGGCAGCGCCCCCAGGAGACTGGTGAACGGGGGGCAGAAGTGGAGGGGGTTCGAACCCTCTGGCTGCCTCACTGATGGCTGCAGTTCAGCAGCTGCTGTGTCCCTCCACCAAAACCGCCGTCACCTGGTCTTCTCCTCCAGCTGCACATCTTGCCAGATTCTAGCAACAGCTCCTTCAGACCTGGGAGCAGTGGTAGCTTCTCCCGTTGCTGCCCCTGCTCAGATGCTTCCTTATCCTTTGCTGGATTCCCTTGACCTTGCCCACATCTTTGTAACCATCCTTTATTAAACTTCATTTCCCACTGGGACACTGACTGATACAAGCAATAATACAAAAATCAGAAACTCAAATGCATGGAATTTTGTATGATCAAGTACAGAAGACATATTACTATTATTATACCTATGATTAGGTATAATAGGTGCATACTAGAAGGTTTTGAAGAAATTTTTAAATTTTTTGGCAGTTAGCCAATATCCAAAGGTAGCAGACTTGCATTTTTTTATATCGTAAAATATTTATCTTTATTATTTTTTCTTTAATTTTTGATTGAGGGCACATTGGTTTATAACATTATCTCAGTTTCAGGGGTACGTCACTATATATTTCAATTTCTGTGTAGACTACGTCATCTTACGTTTTAAAAAACATACCTGTACATCAATCTTCCTCTTTCTCTTGCATTCATTCGCCCCCATTCACCGTTCTCAAAAGCATCTTTAGCTGCTGCTACTGCCTTGTCAACATCCACCAAAGAGGCATAAGACACTTTGCATATTGTCTATTTCAAGTAAAAATAGGTTATAAGTTATTTACATAGAGAGAAATATAAGTATGCTTCTTAGAATTAATGTTACATTATAAAATCCACAGAATTTTATGATGGAGAAATCAATACATCCAGTAACACAGGAAAGAAAAACAAAATTTTAACATGAAAATTATGAGTCTGAAATTTGGTACTTCTCATGCCACACCACAATATGGAAAGACACCTTTAGGAAAACTATAACTATTCTAGTGCCTTACGGAAGCTGAATTTCTTGCCATGAGCTTGTGAAGTCTGCAAACTTTTTCCACATATAGCTTCATGTGGAGATGTGCCTCTGATGTGTATAGATGTAGCTATCCATCTAAATTTATCATAAATATTCGTTCCATAAAATGGGCTACTATAGTTAACAGCAGCCAATACCGGAATTGAACAGTTGAAAGAAATGCATGAAGTACATTTGTATTAAGTACTTGGAGGAAGACTGAAAGAATAAAGTAACTTCTTAAGACTGTCTGTTTGACAACTGTGTATAAACTAAAAAGCCATGGCCAGTGGTCACTACGCACACTAAGTAATTACTCACAGATCCATCTGTTGGGTTGATAGTGTCGTAAGTCTTTCCATCATCGGCATCTGTGAACTGTCCATTTATGAAACACTGATATGGCATTTTTACTGTCATTTTATTGACCTCTTTTGAAACCTAAGAAAGAGAATTATATTCATAGATTCAACGGGTTTCTGTGGTTATGCATCTGATACCAAATAGTAATAAAGAAGCTTTTTCACTAACGCAGAGAGAGAAGTTAAGTCAACAGGATTCTAGGTCCTACTGTCCAGAAAAGACAAGCATGTATAAGATTTGACCCTCACGATGCTCAGATTGGCCACTGAGGCAGGAGGTTAGCATTGGTGATGACCGACGTGCTCAAAGCTGGGCTTTACGAAGATCTGGTTTTCTTCCTTACCCAGATGAATGATAACTCAAAAGACCTCCGGATAATGAAACACCTCCATCTAGAGGCGGTATCTATGGAGTGCAGCCATTGCTTTCACTGAAAGCCTTGAAATCGCGTTTGTCAATAGGTTTGCTTTTTACACCGGTGCCATTTTAAGTTTTCTTTCCTTCTGTTCTTCCCCATTTTCACTTTCTCTCTCTTACATATGTGTTGCCTAGATTGTAGTCTCTGCTATTAGCTAACAAGTGAATACAGGTTAGTCCATTAACCTCTGTGAACCTCAGTTGTTTCAACAATAACATATGATACCTGCTTCTTACAGCTATTAAGAGGAATAACTGAGATAATATATGCGAAAGAGCATTATTAAAATAAAATTCCATATTGTTGGCGCAAGGTATTAAAAAGGAAATTTAATGATTTAAAAAATTATTTCATATAGAGAAATTGATGATACTTAAAAAAGAAACAAAAAATCGAGAGAGGGTATCTTGCCTTATCCCATACCAAGTACTCATGTTCCATGAAATATTTCCCTTGTGTTTACATAGGATATAATGAAGGGAAGTTCACCTGAATTGATGTGTTCAGTCCCTGCATATAACCCAGTTTTCTAAACCCATCATTCTGGGAATATGCTACGTGTCTTACGTGTATTATCTAATCTGATTCTCTCAACAACCCTATGAGGAGGATGTTATTATTCTCCCATTTAAGGTATGAGGAAACTGAGGCTTAGAGGAGTTAACTAACTTGCCAAAGGTCACACAGCTAGCAAGCAGCGTTACTCGGATTCAAATCTAGGTTGGTCTGCCTCCAAAATTCATGATCTTAACCCGATGGTGCTAAACTGATTTCCAAATTTACCTAACTTTTATTAAAAACAAATGGATGAGAAGCACTTCTGAAATAGTAGATTAAGGACCTCTGAAAATTCTCACCTTCATAAAAGCAATGAGAACACTAGAAAATATTGTCAAAATCATTTTTCTCATAACTCTGTAAATTAATCAAAGGATTGCAAGAATTCATTTATTCAAGAAAAACAGATGAATTTCTGTAAGACCAGTGAGCTTTGTGGCATATTAATTTGCCCTCTACCCATCTCTCTCTTGACAGCTCTGCAGTAACTTCAAAATCAACATCTTTGCAACGATCATAGCTGTGAAAACGAGCAGCCTATTAGCCACCAGAGGGGGAAAAGCGGGTCTGGAGCTCTCTCAAAGACTCATCCCAGAGAGTTATTACGATTTGGCATGGCAGTGTCCTGAAAAGCTGCATCCTCAGGGCTTGTCTTTATTAGCCCTGACTCAGAGCTTGCAGCACAATCAGCTCTATCCCTAGGGCATTCGTCCAAAATAATCAGTGGCGACTGTTTAACATTGCAGCTGCCTGAGGCACTAACACCAAGTGAGGCTAACAAATGGGTGATGAAAGAAATGAAAAGGAAAAATGGGCATGACATATCCATAGGAAGCTTTAAAGAAGCTCTGACATATTCCTGGGACTCTAGAAGGCCAACATATGTGCAGGGCTTGTGCATGTGCCCAGGAAAGACCTAAGAAAGCCCTAATCTCTTAGCTCTGGCTGACCTGAGTCTCTGTGCAAGCAGGAAGTGTGTGAAGATTAAGGTGGAGTTGTGAACATCCTGCTGGAGCTTTAAAGGTATACTCCAACACACCATGAGTCCCACAGTAAAGGCTGGGAGACTTATCTGTTCAAGGAATTTAAGGAAATCTATGCCCAATCATTAGCTGACCACTAAGTTAACCAAGCAGAGACTTCAAGGGTGGTAAACAACAAACAATAAGGCTTTACAGAATTAGTCCAAGAAAGTCACTAAATAGAGAAAAAGCAACAATAACAACCAGCAACAACAACAATCTCTGTGAAGGTAGGGGGGATCTGATTTCCAGAGCTGCCATATTCTATTATTTAAAATGGCTAGTTTTCAACAAAAGATAACAAGACATGCAAAGGAACAGGAAAGAATGACCCATACACAATGGAAAAAGAGCAGTCAATAGAAACCATCCCTGAAGAAGCCTAGACATTGGATTTATTAGACAAAGATTTTAATAAGCTTTTATAAATATGTTCAGAGAACTAAAGGAAACTACGTCCAAAGAATTAAAGGAAAGTAAGAGAACAACGTCTCATCAAACAGAGAATATCAACAAACAGATAAGAATTATTAAAAAAAGAACCAAATAGAAACTCTGGAGTTGAAAAGTGCAATAACTGAAATTAAAAAAATTCACTAGAGGGGCTCAAAAGTAGATTCAAGGGGGCAGAAGAAAGAATTAGCAAACTAGACAATAGGTCAATAGAGATATCCAGTTTGAGAAACAGGAAAGAAAAAGAATAAAGAAAAATGAAGAGACAAGCAGAGGCTGCAGGGACACCATCAAATATACCCACACATGCATAATAGGAGTCCCAGAAGGAGAGGAGAGGTGGAAAGGGCAGAAAGAATATTTGAAGAAATAATGGCTGAAAATGCCCCCAATTTGATTAAAAAAATTAATCTGCACATCCAAGAAGCTCATCAAACTCCGAGTAGGATGAACTCAGAGAGCTGCATCCTAGGCACATCATGATAAAATGGACAAAGGACAAAGACAAAGAGGGAATCTTGAAAGCAGCAAGAGAGAAGCAACTCACTACATAAAAGGGATCCTCAGTAAAATCAACAGTTGACTTATCCTCAGAAACCATGGAGGCCAGAAGGCAATAGGATGACATCTTCAAAGTGCTAAAAGAAAAAGACTGTCAACCGAAAATCCCATCTGCAGCAAAAATACCCTCGAAGAACAAAGGAGAAATTAAATCATTCCCAAATGAACCAAAACTGAAAGAACTGTTAGCACATTGCCCTTCAAAAACACTAAAAGCTGTCCTTCAGGCTGAAATGAAAGAACACTAGACGGTAACTTAAATCTTCATGAAGATGTAAGGAGCACTGATAAAGGTAAACAAAGGGTTTTTTTGTTTTTGAAATGTATTTTTGTTTTTAATGCTTTTCTTCCCTGATCTGATTTAAAAGACAACTGCGTAAAGCAGTAATTATAAAAATATATTGGCAGGCTTATAATGTATAAATATGTAATTTGTAGGACAATAATAGCACAGATAAGCGGGTAGGGAGCAAAGCTATATTGCAGCAAAGTTTTTCTATACTATTGGTATTAAGTTGGTATTAATCTGAACTAGAATGTCTTGAGCGAAAATGTCCATTGTAATCCTCAAGGCAACCACTGAGAAAATAACTAAGAATATACGGTAAAGAAACAATGAGGGATTGAACTGGCATACCAGACGATAGCCATTTAACACAAAAGAAAGCAGCAAAGGAGTAGAGGAGCAAAAAAAAAAGGCATTAATCAAGACATATAGGAGCACAAGTGGCAAAAGAACAAACAGATGAATTGGACTTAATCAAATTTTAAAATGAGTGTCAAAAGACGCTATCAAAAAAGCGAAAAGAAAGCACATAGAATGGGAGAAAATATTTACAAGTCATAAAACTAATTAGGGTCTAACATCCGAAATATACAAAGGCCTCTTACAACTCAATAATTAATAACACAAATGTCCCAATTAAAAAATGGGCAAAGGATTTGAATAGACATTTCTCCAAAGAAGATATACAAATGACAAATAAGTGCATGAAAAGATGCTCATCATTAGTCATTAGGGAAATATAAATCAAAACCACAAAGAGATACCACTTCACACCCACTAGGACAGCTAAAATAGAAAAGACAGGCAATAGCAAATGTTGATGAGGACACGGAGAAACTGGAACCTTCTTGCATTGCTAGTAGGATTGTAAAATGGTATAGCCACGTTGGAAAATAGTTTGGTAGTTCCTCAAAAAGTTAAACATAGAGTTACCATATGACTCATTGATTCTACTCCTAGATATATACCCAAGAGAACTGAGAACATATGTTCACACAAAAAATTATACATGAATTTTCATAGAAGCATTATTTATAATAGCCAAAATGTGGAAACAAACTGAATGCACGTCAACTGAGGAATGGATAAACAAAATGTGGTGTGGCGACACAATGGAACATTATTTGGCCTGGAAAAGGAGTGGAGTGATAAATATACTCTGCAACATGGATGAACCTTGAACACATTATGCTAAGCGAAAGAAGCCAGGTGCAAAAGGCCACATGTTATATAATTCCATTTATATGAAATGTCTAGAATAGACAAGTCCATAGAGACAGAAAGTAAACTAGTGGTTGTCAGGGGCTGGGGGCTGGGGGAGGAGAGCAGAGAATGATGGCCAATGGATACAGGGTTTCTTTTTGGGGTGATATAAACGTTTCATAATCAGATGGGGTGATGATTGCACAACTGTGAATATAGTAACAACAGCTAAATTGTACATTTTAAAAGGGTGAATTTTATGGTATCTGAATTATATCTCAATAAAACTGTTATTTTAAAAAGGTTATAAATGTAAAAACAAACGGATGAAAGGCACAGAATCTTTCTGTAGTACATGGACCTTAATGATGCAGGTTTTAAACACCATGGAAAAGCTTACATAATCCACCACTAGCTCTGCTTCTCGATCTTCTCCTCTCAGTTTCCTCACGACTTTTTGGATGAAGTCTTCGAACTTGGTGGCCATATAGACATCTTCACTCTGTAACTGAAGCCCACCACATTTCTGTCTGATCTCTTCCACCAGCCTTAAAGTAAGAACCAGCTCATGTTACTTACATTTTCTAAAGGGTTGAGGGGAAGGGTATGATTACATTTGTCAAGTTGCTTTGAAATAAGACTTATGTCACATGCCTATATACATCCTATGACATCTTCTATGATAATAGAGAAATTGATAAGACTGGGAGGAAAAAAATTAAAAACCTGTTTAGAAGAACAGTGGCAATTTTTTCTGTTTTTAACTTTATACATGACTAAAAATAAAAGAAATCAAGGGAAAAACATTTTAATTACTTGCAAGCAAGATAATAAGGGGCACATAAAATTCCTTTCCTTTCAAATGTACTCAAAGAATAAGAAATAAAGGAAATTTCCTGACTGTAAAGATTATGAGAAACAAAAGTGATATTGTAGAATATTTTCTCTAGATCATGTATAAGAATAAAACAAACATTTGTTTGTATGACATGGTTAATATAGGTACTAATTAGAATCAGCCAATAAGTCAACATAATTTTTGGAGTCTTTTCCAATCCTTTGATTTTTTACTGTTGATTTTTCAAATTACAGCTGTTATTTGACATTTCCTGAATAGCACTGGTGTACTAGATACAGCATAGAAAGCCTACCACAGTTGTCGTTCAGTCATTTATTCTCTGAAAGAGATAAGGTGCCTTGGTAGTTCAAGATAATAGCATTAGATGCTTATGCTAAGTCATACAGTCCAACAGGAAATGGGTAATTCCTGTAGGAATATCTAGCTAGCAAAAAAAATCACATTAAAACTACAGTATTGGGGGCTAGCCCCGTGGCCAAGTGGTTAAGTCTGCAAGCTCTGCTTCAGTGGCCCAGGGTTTTGTTGGTTCGGATCCTGGGCAAGGACATGGCACCGCTCATTAGCCCATGCTGAGGTGGCATCCCACATGCCACCACTAGAAGGACCCACAATTAAAAATACACAACTATGTACTGGAGGACTTTGGGGAGAAGGAAAAATAAAATCTTTTAAAAGTACAGTATTGACATCCTTAGTTGAGCAAATTAGAAGTTTCTAGGAACTCGTGAATCATAGCTGAGAAATGTGTGATTTGAGGAACCAACACTCTTGACTTCTGACAATGATATTTGCTCTTGAAATGATCATTTTTGATTACTGGAATAAAAAAGCTTCATGAGGGGCCGGCCTGGTGGTGTAGTAGTTAAAGTTCACACACTCTGTTTGGCAGCTCGGGGCTCGTAGGTTCAGATCCTGGGCCTGGATCTACAAACCGCTCATTAAGCCATGCTGTGGAGGCATCCCACATACAAAATAGAAGACGATTGGTGCAGATGTTAGCTCAGGGACAATCTTCCTCACCAAAAAGAAAAAAAAAGCTCCATGAATGAAGGGACTTTGTCTTGCTCATGACTATATCCCCCATGTAAAAAACTGTTCCTGACATGTAGTCAGTGTTCAACAAATTTTGTTAAATAAATGAGTGAATAATAAATAAACAGAATATTCACCCAGAACACTTGCTTTGTTGAAAAGAAGGATTATGTCAAGTGGAGTAACATTCTTCACCTTGTTTAATTAGTGAATGGCCATAGTGTGGCCCTCAAAGAAAAAACACCTCTGCAAGACTCTCCAGTATTAGGATTCTGGTACACTCTTTGTGCCATGGTGGGGTGAGGGAGGTTCAGGACTTTCAACTTGCTGTGACCTTCTGTAGAGAAATTCTGACTATAGGGTGTGCAAGTATCCTGATAATTCTCATTCTAGATATATCATCCTGGGTAATTTGGGAGGACAAGAAAAAAGGATTTGGGGGAAGTGTAATCAGTGTCAGGTATCTTTCTGGATCAGACTATATAGGAAATTCCTGATTAACATTCTCACTCAGAGCTCCCCAATTCCAATGTCATATTGGAGGAAAATCAGCTAAGAAATATAAAGACAAAGTTTTAAAAGAAACAAACAAGTAGAAGGGCTGGTTTTCTAGGTAGATAGTAAATATGAAAACAACCCCTGGGGGCCAGCCCAGTGGTGTGGCGGTTAAGTTCATATGCTCCGCTTTGGCGGCTCAGGGTTTGCCTCTTCGGATCCTGGGTGTGGACCTACCCAGTGCTTATCAGCCATGCTGTGGCAGGTGTCCCACATATAAAGTAGAAGAAGATGGGCACAGATGTTAGCTCAGGGCCAATCTTCCTCAGCAAAAAAAGGAGGATTGGCAGCAGATGTTAGCTCAGGGCTAATCTTCCTCAAAAAAACCTCCTAGCTAGCAACAAAGAGAAGGGAACAAATATATGAGTTTGACCATGGAAACTAACAAACCAAAAATGATGAAGAAAAGAGAAATAGAGTAGATGGTTAGGACAGAGGGATAACGTCCAGAAGAAAGGATTTGGATTTGACTGTCAAAGCCAAAGTCAAAATCCCTGGTGGAGGGGTGTGGGTCAACAGGGGGTGGTTTTACCTGACAACATCCATTGAGCTTGCTCCAGATTTAAAGAAGTCTGTTGAGTCTTCAATAACAGGGACGTTGCTTAAAATTCCAGCCCAGATGACCTACATGAGGGAAACTTTTATGAGGGAAGCGCCATGTAGACACTGTGGCAGAGACGAGCTAGCTCCTCAGCAAACCTCTCTTCCTCATCTTGGATACATGGCTTGAGGACGCTTCTCAGCATCTCTTCAAGTTAGACGCAGCCGTGTGACTGACTTCAGTCAATCAATATGAGTGTAAGTGACCTGCACTCCCAGTGTTGGCCCATGAAACACCTTCCTCATACCATTCTCCATGCTCTTATGCCCTTGTTGGCTGTCTTGTGTGACCAGAGTGACCTTGAAGATAGCAGAGCTTGGGTCCCTAAATGACTCTACCCCTCATCCTCATGTTCCAGCTTCACCCCTAACCCCCAGGCCCACCTAGAACTGCCGCGGATAATTTATGTGAGAACTAAATCTGCATATATTTTGGGGTTGATTTCCTATCATAGCTAATTAAAAAAAGAGGAAATAAAGTTCCATCCCCACAGGACTGATGGTACCAGTTACAAAAATGCCTGAGTTTTCCAAGGTAAGAGGAATAAAAAGGACATAAAATGTTCACCTTAATGGTCTCTGCCACCTTCACCTCCTCGGCTGTAAGTTCCAGCACTGATGTCTCTCCCCCTGAGAAGTACTGAGAGGCAGGAATCATTTTTCCATCTTCAAGCTGCAGATTTCTTACCATCAGCTACAAAATAGCAACAAAACAAGCAGAAGAATTGAGGATTAGGACAATTCAAAAGCGAGGTTGGTGGGGGGAGAAGTCTCATATATATTACACGGGTATAAGGACCGGCTTATTTGGAAAATACAAAAATATGGATTAAATCACCATCATGTGTAAAAGAACTGAAATGACATATTAATAAAGGCAGCAAAAGGGAAAGTTAAGCCTAGGGGTAGATACATCTCAAAATAGGTGATAAGGGGCTGGCCCCATGGAATGGTTAAGTTCGCGCGCTCCACTGCAGGCAGCCCAGTGTTTCGTTGGTTCGAATCCTGGGCGCGGACATGGCCCTGCTCATCAGACCACGCTGAGGCAGTGTCCCACATGCCACAACTAGGACCCTCAATGAAGAATATACAACTATGCACCGGGGGGCTTTGGGGAGAAAAAGGAAAAAAATAAAATCTTTAAAAAAAAAAAATAGGTGATAAGCCCCTGAAAAATTGACATTTGGATGTAGGTGTTTGGACTAAAACCTACCATATCTACTCTTACTACAACGACTGCCATCATTTGCACACTTACTCTGTGCTCAACACTTACGCACAGGGCACCGGGCTAAATGTGTATGTATGTGCTGAAATATCTTATTTAATCTCATAAATCCTGGTGGAGGCAGGTGCACTGTTATCCCCATTTTAATGATGAGGAAATGGAGGCTCAATGAGGTTAAGTAATTTGCCCAATGCCACACAGCTAGTGAGAAACAGAGCTGGGGTCAGAACCCAGAACTAGCTGGACTCAGAAGCCTACAATCTCAACAGCTGATGTATCTCGAGAGCTACCAGAAAGTAGCTGTAAGTGGTAAACTCCATTTTTGCTTTCTTCATTGGGAAGTTGCCCAAGGGCCCACTGAGGCCCAGAGCCCATACTCCCAAGTACAGGCCATGTGGGTGGGCACTTGCCTCAGGAAGCAAAGGCAATGAGCCTCTGAAGATGGCCATATACATCTCACTCGATCCTCCCAGACTCTGGCCATGGGAAGGCAGACAGACAGGATTACTCTCCCTGTTTTACAGACAAGGAAACTGAGGCTCAGAGGGGAGAAGCATCCTGCCCCAGAGCAGCAAGAGGCAGAGCGGGGATTCACATCCTCTTTCCCGACTAAACCCCAAACTCTGTCTACTGTACGGCAAGCAGACGGCGCAGGTCCTTGGGGCCCATCCTGAGGAGCCTTGTTCTCATCAAGGCACAGAGAGCCAGCTCATTCCCAGAGAGAAACGGGGCACAGACATCTCTCGCCTCCCACATCCCAATGCGAAGCCAGATTACCTTGTGAAAGCTATGGCCTTAATAACTTGGGTTATCGAAGGAAACCAAAAAGTTACTTTATAGATGACCATCTCGAACACTCACTGCTTTTCCATCGTTACCAAAAAGAACAAGTCCATTTTTGGTAACAAGACCAGGCTTCTTGGCACCTTTAATTTCCAGCGGTTCTCCAGGAGGCACGGAGCCGTTCAGTAGTGATGAGCCATAGAAAGTGACCATCTAATAAAGAGATCAAAGCCAGATGGGGAAATGAGGACGGCTGTCCACAGGGTGTGTGCGAGCAGCACTCCCTGCAGGAAAGCTGAAGTTGGGATGATCCCTTATGGTAAAACTGGGACACCCCAACGTGAGAGACGATACCAAGCATCTGTAGAAATGACACAAAGCAAGAGAGAGTCTGTGAACGTGTGATTGAAGAGTTTAAAAAAATGCCCCACATCGGGTGACATGAATATACGTTTATCGTTTATTCACATTGACACAAAGGGGAATGAGATCAAAAGCTCTGCCGGACTTTGCAGCCTGAAGGTGGGGTTTTTGGAGGAGGTTGGTGGGTCCGAGAGGGCAGATGCAGAGCAGGAAACAGACATTACAATGCAAAGCGATACACGATGGGAAGTACAGGGTGCTGTGGGGGTCAGTTCCTGGAAACAGACCGGCCCCAGACTGTAACCAAGAGAGCTGCACACCAATTGATTTGTTATTATAATTATTATTATAATTCTATGACTATTAGCTATCATTTATTGAGCACTATGAGAGTCAACATTTATTTACTTATTCTATGCTAAGGACTCAGGACTTAAATAAATTAACATGTATTAACTCATTTAATCTTCCCAGTAGCCCACAACCTATAAAGGAGGTCCTATTATTAGTCTCATTTTACAGTGAGGAAACCAAGGCACCCAATAGTTCAGTCACCTGCCCAAGGTTACATAGCAAATAGTGGCAGAGCCGGAATTTTAATGGGAACATTCTGGCTTCAGATCCCACACTCTTAACCACTGCACTAAACGTCCCCCCTTAGTTCTTCATCAATCCCACATATTTTTATTGGCACCTAACATGCACTGAGAACCCTGCTTAAGTGCTGAGATTATCAAGACAATAACACGAAGCCCTTGCCCCCAAGGGGTTCATAGTCTACTGGGGAAAGAGGGATGGATAAAGAGGCATTTACAATATATAATATGCTATGCCAGAGGTAGGCAGGGTGTTGGAATAGAGAGAAGGGACACCCAACCCCGTCAGACTGGGTGTGTGAGGTCAGAAACCTTCCTAGAAGAGGTGAAACCCAAGAATCTGATTTGATTTGGGATTCCCCAGGGATTAGAAGGCCCACCTTCCCTGCCTCATCTCACCCCATGCCTCTCACACCTGCTGCTCACACCTGAGGCTCCACTTGATCGAACTCTCTGCGAGTCCTGACTGCGTGATACACTCTGTCTCCGGGTCTTCGGCTCTGTCTCATTCTCCACCTGTTGACCTCTTCTCAAACAGCAAAGCGGTAAGCTTTTCTAGGAGGCCTTTCCCAACACACCTGAGCCTGGGCCTCAAGGATAGCATTTGTCTTACTGTATTACGAGTGTTTATTCACTTTTCTGCTTTCTCCATAAAACTGCAGCCTCCTTGAGAGTGGAGGCTGTGCCTAGTGTTGGCTTCACAGCAAACGCTCGATCCATGCTAAGTAAAGAGGAGGATGTTTTCTTTTAGGGCGTCACCTATACCTTGAATCACAGGCCCTCCTCATACCCAAGGGAAGAACCAGAGGAAGCCTAGACTTACATATAAGACCTTTTACAAACGTGACATGAAAAAAATTGGTCCCTACTACATACCTGTCCATTTATCTCTGTCCAAGCTCCAGGCACTTTATCATGACCTCGGATCCAGTTGTGTAAAACTTCAGCAGATTGATCCCAAGAAATCTAGAAACACACGAAGCACAGGCTGAACTTCCTAACGCTGCGAGTCTCAAAGGCAACAGAGGCATTTCTCTCCATCAGTGGCAGAGGTGGGGAGGGGTGGGGCAGGCTGGCTCAGAGACCTACTTTTGGTGAGGAAATGGTGCATTGGGAAGTACTTAAAGGTAGCAGACCATGAACTTTGAGATGCGTTCTTGAGTCGATATAGATACCTCAGCATTTTCCTTCTTCTGGATACCTTCATATGTTGCCCCTTCTTCTGGCTGGGGAATACAAGGAGCTTTGCCATCAGCTATGAGTTGGACAGCTTCCACCTAAAGCCAAAAATATTACCAGTGTTACAGCCCAATGGTCAATGATGGCATGGTCTGTTTAACTGAAGTTTCTGTTTAACAGAATTACACCATATAATCTGTCCAGAGAGTCAGACTTTGATAATAACTGCCATTTCTTTAGATCCATCTATGTGCCAGGTGGTGTGGTAGCTACTGGTTGTAAAATATCCCTTGCAACATCACAGCAATCCTGCAAGGTGGATATGATTATTCTTATCTTACAGATGAGGAAACTGAGGCTTAGAAAAGTTAAACAACTAGCTCAAATCACAGAGAGAGTTTGTAGGCGTCAGAAGCAGAATCCACATCCAGGTCTATCCACTGCTGATGTCAAGCCTGTACTCTTAAAAATGATCTCCTTGTTTGTTTAAACAAATTTCAACCTCACCATGGTAACTCAATGGAAAGCTCAGGAATATATTGTAAAAGTCATTGTGGGTTATTGCTGCTCATCATGATGATTCTAGAAAGTGATCCGTGGTCATATTTAAGGAATTCAACTTGCTTTCTAGTTTAGGACACCTGGAATAAAAAAATGCCAAAATCTATCCACGAGTTTGATTGTCTTTGGGATGTGTCCTGCGGTCCCTTCCGTGTCACATTTATGTTTGCCTTGAGTTGAGAGCCTGTCTCCTTCACTGGAGGCCTAGGTGAGCTCAAGTTCTGAGTTTTCTCTCTCAGTATTCACTGCTGACCAACCTCCCGGAGATGGAGGAAGCCACGTGGGAACAGGGTCAATTCCACCCACTTCTGGCTATAATATCATCAGGTACAGGATCCGGGCTTGAGCAAATGCCCCTGAACACACAAAGTACTATTTTGATTGTAATTATCACTGTGAGCACGAATTGTGTGCCACATTTACACAAATGTCATTTAATTGTCACAATAACCCTATATATCAGGCAGTATTATCCACATTTTATAGATGAGGGAACCAAGGCTAAAGAGGCTAAGTGACTTACCATCGTCACACAACAAAGTGGTAGAATGAGACCTTTGGTGACACCAAAGCACTACCCTCTTAATCATTGCATGACACAAAGCACTGCTCTCCTCCCTCCCCGATCAATGGCCACTGCCCTATAGCATCTGACTGCCCATCTCTGTGTTGCTACTTCCACCATATCAAACTCTGGAAAACATTCAATGACACTGAAATGATCTTTCAAGATTTTTACAGCGAATATATTTTTACTTTGTAGTGTGCATGCTTTGAGCTTTTCATCCAGAGCACATCTGAATAAATAACGCAATGCCAGATTTCACCCTGTTACCTAGACTGATTTCAAATACTTTTGAAGGAAGTTCAAACGACATAGGAAAATTCCTTAAGATTCTGTACACTTCTTTATGATTAGTCATTAGAAACAGGGGTGGAGATTCAAGTATTTGGTAGAATAAATAACAGTTGGATGGCTACTTCATCCATTTGATCACTGCTCTCAGGAGAACAAGTCAGCTTCGTAGACTAAGAAATCTTAAAGTTCAGATTTCCACCCTAAATATACCATCCTATTGGTAAATGCAAAATCTGATTTTGTTTTTCTGCTTTATGTTTTTCATAAGAACTCATATGAGCAAATTCTTAATAAAAGAAAAATATTTCCAAATCTTAAAAGTTTACTAAATTCTTCTTGATGGCATAAATATACTGACCATGGCCTTGATTCCTTCAGGAAAAAGAAATCGATTATAAAGTGCATCCACTGTATCATTGGGCTCGACATCACATGACCTCTGAAGAAGGATGGGTCCCGTGTCTAAACCATCGTCAGCCCAGAAAACAGAAAACCCAGCTTTCTTATCTCCCATAATTAGAGTCCTGTGAAAAGAGGAGTTTCAACTTAAAAGGTTGGTTAACTGTATCATAAAGTGACGAATTAGGGATACTTAAGCACAAGGTAGTTACCATGGAAAGTAGACAGTGAATGAAGCCACCATGAGAAATTAACAGTAGAGCTGGGAGATGTCAGCACTCGTAAAAAGTGCTACTTAATGGTACTGCTATTTTACACATCCTCATTTCTGCAGTCTTTCTCGTTAACAGACACTAATGATTTAAAGTCTACTCAAAAAGGCTTTAGAGTCCATCATTACTACCACTCACTGACTCCCAGGTATTGGCTTTTTACTATAGCATCAAGTAATTTTGCCCACCCGGGTCCAATTCCTACAACGGTAGTTGACCCTGTATTAGGCAGAATTAGATAATGGAAGATAAAACGGAGGAAACTCAATGCAATGTGAAGAGGGGAACTGATTATTAATTTAGGTCATGTAATTCAGGTATAAGCATCACTTAGAGGTACAATTAGCTCGAGATTATCTACGTAAATTATGGTAAAATATGGCTGGTTAATTCAACTATTTGTATTTTGTTCTCCATAAAGCTTAGCCTACGAAAATGCTGGCCCTACAGGAGCTTATAATACATTCAATAAGCTGGATCTGTGGACAAATACAAATTAAGGCATATCAGAGAACAGGCTAATACAGACAGTATGAAGTGGTGGGTCAGCCATGCTCAAGATCTAAATCATCTTTACTTCTCTGAGCTACTAACTGAGCAAGACCTAAATCAATCAACCAATCGCTCTTTTCAGAAATATTGAAGAATTAGTTGGCATTTTGTTATCAAGAGCCTTGAAAAAATTCACATACTTTGACCCAATGGTTCTGCATGTGGAAGTAATGTGAAATGAGAAAAAATACAAGTTTAAGTACAAAGATATCTACGACAGTATTATTTACTAAAGCAAAAAAGAAATCAATTCATGTAATCAGACTTTTAAATACAATGAAATTTTTTCATTACATTTGAACTAAGAGTAGATTTTCTGTGTATTCAGAAACTTGACACTGAGAGACAATCAGGGAGATGTGCAGGTGAAGCAGAGAAGGGAGAGAAAGGGGCTGGCCCTGTGGCGCAGTGGTTAAGTTCACACGTTCTGCTTTAGCAGCCTGGGGTTCAGTGGTTTGGATCCTGGGTGCAGACCTACAGACCACTTATCAAGCCATGCTGTGGTAGGCATCCCACATATAAAGCAGAGGAAGATGGGCATGGATGTTAGCTCAGGGCCAGTCTTCCTCAGCAAAAAGAGGAGGATTGGCAGCAGATGTTAGCTCAGAGCTAATCTTCTTCATTAAAAAAAAAAAAAAGAAGGGAGAGAAGGCGCAAAAGGCCCACCTCAACCCACACATAGTGTACCTATGGTATATGGGTACCTACAAGTACCAGGCATTGTTCTTGATACCGGGAAATACGGCAATAAAAATGTTAGAGCACAGTGCCTTCTTCCCTGAAGAAAGTTGAATGGGAGAAGACAGACAATGAAGATCATTTCAGGAAATTCAGCATTGGCTGAAACATACTTGAGATGGTTAATGCAAAAAAAGTTCTGTAGTAAAATAAGTTTTAGGACACTATGTACTCAGATTCCCTCTTGGTGATTATGATGCTCATATTAAAGCACAATTTTAAGAAGTCCTGTGATATAGAAATCCAGCATAAACCAGACTTGTCTGACCATAGAACCTTTGTCTGCTCAATGCCTCGTTATGTTCAGTGAAGCCAGGACTCCATAGACTATTCTTGGGAAATGCTGTGCTGGATGCTGTGGTACATCGAGATCTCAGGGGAGTTCATGTAATAGTAGCAATCAATCAAGACCTCACAATTGTTCAAATGTACCTCGTTCCTTGATCACTTCGGGAAAAACAGAAAGATTATGGATGATAGAAATAGGCCCATCTTTTCTGTTGTTAAAAAAACCTCACCAGTTGATAGCAGAGGCTCCTCTGTGCCTGGGAAGGATGGACGGGTGATAAATGATGGAACCGTGTTTGGGGTTGTCAATTACATCCATGGGGATGAATTGTGTGCAGAAGGGAAGCACGTTGAGCTCAGCACCCACGGATCTGTAGGCCTCTGCCACCTCCCTTATGGTCTTGCCTTTCACTCTCCATCTAGGGAACTTGAACACAGGGGTCCCATCTTTCTCGGCAGCCAAAGCTAAGCATGAAAGAGAAGATGATTTTCATTAAAAAAATTTAGCCATAATTTTATATTGCTATGGATTCGCACATTGTAATTTTACAGCTTCATGAAACATTTATAAATAAAACATGGCGAAGAACAATTTACATTCTGACCAGGATTTGACCTGTTATAATTTTATCATGATCTATCCATTTTTCTAAGGTGACTTTTACCTCTATATCTAAGATAGAATATGTTTGAACTCAAAAGTTTGTGTCTAGATAACACTTTGAGATTTTAATTGAAGCTTTTTCTTTTTTAGATCAAAAATTGTACCTTAATTACTGATACAGCCATTTAAGGAATATAGTATTTTGCTTGTTTCTTTTTTAGACTTGGAGCCAAGTGCCAGGACATGACCACCTGAATGAGACACACTCAGCCTGTGGCACAGTTGGACAACCTTGAGTCCTGCCCACTCCCGTTTCCTGGGGGACGTCCCTTTTATCACAGGGCAAACTGTAGATCAGAGATGATCCCAACAGATAAAGGGAGAAGGTCGCTGAGCTGAGCTGAGCCTGTCTAGTTCCTTCTCCCAAATTCACCAATCAGATAAGTTAGAGGAGGAGAAGGGCCAAGGATGGAGAACACATGCTCCCCATAAGGGTTTTGCCATACTGGCGCAGATCCAAGGCTCTCTGCTGAGGAAAATGTTGTCCCTCCCTAAAGGAATGACTCCATCCTACCTCTGTGTGAAAATCCAATGGCCCTCCCAAGTGTAGACAGCACAAACCCATTTCTTTCCATAATAAAATATCATTCTTACTAACTATACACCTTACACTTTTAAGCATATATATTTATTTTTCATCAATAACAGAAAGCAACTACATTTTCGGCAATATCCAGAAACTTTAACTGAGGCTTTTTGCCTGCATTTTTGGGGGTTCCCTTTTCTTTCTCCCCATCCCATCGACATTCACTGGCTCCAGTTGGGATGATGCCTCCCCCCAAAAGCCTAAATTCTGAAAGACTCTGGCCATCGAGGTAACACCTTGATCAAAACATTTGGAAGCCTTTGAGAGACCAGTATAATAAATGTTCACAAAATGTACATGTTCAACAAACTGTAAACAACTCAAATGTCAGATGACAGAAAAATGGATAAATGGTGGTCAAAAAAATGTGGTGAAATTGAGAGACAATTGTGAAAAGTTAGACTGGAAAAGAAAAATGGGGTGAAAGAGACTCAGAAGTCTTCATTTTAAAGTTACTCGACTGAGATGTGAGGCATCCAGGTGTTGCTGTCCCATATTGACTTTTGGCAACTCTGAGGCTGTTTTTGGCTGCTCTAGTTGACTATTCTGACAACAAGAATAGTTAGCTGCTGTCATTATTGATGGCTTTTTAGGAACCAGGCACGGTACCGAGCACTTTACATGCATTATCTCATTTAATCCATGTAAGATGGGTACCGTTGAACTGAGCTTAGTGAGTTTAAGTAACTTGCCCAATGTCATGCAGCTAGTAAGTGGCAGAGTCAGAATTAATTCCATGACTCTAGAACATACCATATGCTGTACCATCTCCCAGGCTATGCTATAAGTTGGGTTGGTATTTTTCCTTTCTTATGCCAGAAGCCCAAATGGCCATGACCAATGGAAAAGGGGCCTGGTCCTGGGTGGGACCAGATCCTAGAAAAGGTTCATTTCCCAGGACACACTCTGAAACGAGGTCTAAGAATCACGTTTGCAACTCTTCTGAAGTTCACATACATGGCAGAGACTGCTAGTTGCCCTGCTTCTTCCTTTAGTAAGGATTCCTCTCCTTGAGCTGAACACATAGCCACTACAAATAAAATGTATATTTCTCAGCCTATCCTGCAAACAGATTTGGCCTGTGACTAAGTTTTAGCCAATGAGATACAAGTAGAAGTAATATGTGCAACTTCCGGATTACATACTTAACGCAAAGCTTGCCCTCTGCTTCCCCTCTTTCCCTTCCTGCTTGCTGGAATGCAGATTTGATAGTTGGGGCTGAAGCAGCTACCCTGGACCACAAGATGGAAGCTCAGTGTTGATAATGGCAAAACAACAGATCGAAGGAGCCTGCATTGTAATAAGTACAGAGCTGTCACAACAGCTCTGATGGCCGACTCAGACTTGAGAAATGGACTTCCATCTTTCTGAAGCTAATATTATTTTGGGTCTCCCTGATTTGACTCCTAATCTGATATCACAAATATCGGTCCTCCCAAATGTCCACCATACAAAGTTGGTGGAATAGATAATAGTAGGACAGGCAGTTTCAGTCACAGGAATCTGTCCCCTTCTGCCTTTGGAGTCAGGTATGAATTCATGAGGCAATTTCCCTCAGAATTCCCCAGGTTGGGATAACTTTTTTTGAAACAAAAATCATTTCTAAATAAAGTGATTAAGTTCACGTGTGTACGTGCTCTTGACCCAACTTTTTTAGCTTGACTCCTGAAAAACAGTGTTAAAACATAATATCTTTAAAGTAGTAACAAGAATTAGGATAAACCCCGGAGGTGCTTTTTCTGAGAAAAAAGGTAAAATTTAGGGTTATCACAGATCATTGTTTTCCAACGAATGTGTTACATCATACCAGCAATATATGAAGATCCAAGTCATACGCCAAGACTTCGAGTCGCCTGTTCTTATTCCCTACCTGTACTATTTGTAGACTATTTCTATCTCTGTGTCTTGTACCCTTTATTGACATAACAATAGCTTGCAACTCAGAATCCCACTGCAGTTCTGCTCTGAGGACCGCTATCTTCTTCACTCCACCTTAATAGCCAAGCAGCCACAGCTATAATTTGTTCTGAGACAAACGCATTCTTTATGACCCCGCCTCAATTTCTGCTATCAGATGTGGCTTTCCCTTCATTCCATTGGCACTTCTGCATCAGACATTCTTCTAGATGTCTCAGAGCGCCTCTGGAAAGTCACAAATGTAATTCAGGAAAAATATATGCCTGGAAATTCCTCTGATGGCCCTCATGATTACCATGGAGGTAAGTGGAGAAACTCTTAAGACAGGAGGGGCCCGCACCTTTGTCTTGGGATCCACAGAGAAGGAGGATTTTTGAGTCTGTAACCACCCAGCAAATAGACTTGGCCTGAGAAGGCTTTCAACGGGCAGAGCGGATGTGTCCGAGCCCAGAGGGGAGGTGTGCAGTCTGGGACTTTGGGGCCATGGCAAAGAAGAGGAAGCACAGAAATGCTAATGAGGGACGAGGGCTCTGAGCTGGGCCCCAGGCTGGATAGTTGAAAGGCCTGAGCAGAGTCCTTGATCCAGGTGTCTCAAGATACACTCACCCAGGGGGTCAGCTTTTCCATCCTTGTCTGGAACTGTGAACACACCCACGACTCGGTGGCCCTCTTTGCAGAGATGGCTGTAGACTTCCTGTCCAAAGAGGCTTTGACCAATGAGTGCCAACTTTAGCTTGTTTTTGAAATAAACCTGTGAAACAGTTCAATGATGACAGGTGTTGGCACAGATAGAAGACATATGGATAATAGACATTCTTTTTTCAATCATACAAGATGACTTGAGGACTACAAAAGGTGCAAAGGTCTATAAAATAAAATTTTTGTTGACATACACTGAATCCCGACTACATCATCTATAGACCGTAGTGAAAATAATTTCACATTTCAGTATTCATCATTTTCCCTTTTCTCTAATTTCCTTGATTATTCATTATAATTATTGGGATTACATATATTTTTACAAGCCACTTCAACTCCTTAGTGAAATGAGGCCCGATGTTAACAAATAAGTGAAGGTTTCACAGTTAAGACGTGTTTAACTCTGAGCAAGATCTACTTCAATAAGATAATGCTTTTATGCACCTGCAATATAGAAATAAGAAATGGCCTCATCTCTTACCTCCAAAACAGGCCAAGAGCTAACACCTAGTATAACATAGGGGTCAAAAGCAGATCCTAGGGGCCAGCCCCGCGGCCAAGTGGTTAAGTTTGCGTGCTCTGTTTCTGCAGCCCAGGGTTTCACTGGTTTGGATCCTGGGCGCAGACCTGGCACCACTCATCAGGCCATGCTGGGGCGGCATCCCACATGGCACAACCAGAAGGACCACAGCTACAATATACAACTATGTACTGGGGGGCTTTGGGGAGAAGAAGAAAAGTAAAAAGAAGATTGGCAACAGATGTTAGCTCATGTGCCAATCTTTAAAAAAAAAAGCAGATCCTAGAGTCAAAACCTAGTGCTACCCCTTATCAGTTGTGTGGCCTTAAACAAGTAACCAACTTCTATTTGCCTTTTTTTCCTCATCTGTAAAATAGGAATAACAATAATACCAATCTCACACAATTTTGATTCAAATAGATGACTTTATACGCAATAGGTTTAACACAGTGTCTGACACAGAGCACTGTTTAACCAAGAGCTTTAATAATGTTTTAAAGGTTTTGCTATATACTAGACACTATTCTATGTTTTCTCATATAGTCCATAATCCCAAAATCCTTGGTAAGTGGCCTAAACTCATTTGACCTCAAAACTTGGACTGATCTAATGGAATGTTCCCAATAGTCCTTATAGTTTTCTTATAAGTTTGCACAAACTCAATTGGCTTCCAACCTGACCTGCATTGACATAATGCTATTTACAGTCTTTATAAAAATTATATGAATATTTATATGTTTTGCTGCAGAAAAATCAATGTGTTTGGTTACAGATACTGTCCCAGACCCGGCTGTGAATTGTATGTCATGTACTATCTATGTACCATATTAACTTTCTAAAATGTGAATAATTCTGAATCTCAAAACGCATTTGGCCCCACAGGTTTCAGATAAAGAATTAAGACCTGCACATCATTTCATTTCATTTAATCCACACAACTATCCTGTTTTATTGTCCCACATTTTGCGCCATTTTATGAATGAAGAATCCCAAGCTTAGAAATGTCAAGTATATCCCCAAGGTCATACTGGCTAAAAGAGGGAGAGCTGGAATTTGAACCCAGGTCTGTCTGACTCCAAAGCCCACATATGTACTTAAAATAACTAAAATGAGCTACCACTAGCCATGTCTTCCATATTCTTTTTAGAAGATTAACATTGATGCACAAAAATACAGCGATTATTAAGACATATAAACACCACATAGAAGAGAGTATCACTAAAGGGGTTGACGTTTTTAAGAAGTTTACGTCTTTAAGCAATTATACCTTCTGTAAATTCTCCCAAAATGGAGCCTTTTCACAAGGCTTGAGGTAACACGTTGACATGATGATTGTTAAGACAGTGATGAAATGCCATCAGGCGAAGCGGGTGAGATGTGGAATTGTGGGTGTAGAGACGGTAATCAGAGGGTCATGACTTCCTATGCGCTTCCCATCTTGGTAACAGACCAACCTCAGCTCCCCAGAACTCCTCCTACCTTTCATTCCTCCGTTTTAGAAGATGGCTCCACACGATTTGGATTTAGAATTTTTTTCCCTTCAATCTAAACGGGATTCTTTAATGATCTGGAAAACCATTCTAAATTAGTAAAGTCTCACTGTGAAAATCTGATTTGAGGAAACAATTTTCTCTTATTTTCCATTTTATTAAGGGCATTCCTTTTTAGGCATTAACTTTAAAAGCCTATGAGTTCACGCCTTCCTTGCAATTGAGCTGATAATTGAACAGTTAAGGTTTTAGTTTAAAAAATTCTCTTTCAGGGCCAGCCAAAGTTTCTAAGCCAAAAGAGCCTAGAGCTTCAACGTCTAACAGACACTCACAAGTGAACAGATGAACTCTAACCACAGCACAATTCGCCTACAGATAATGACGATCATTTTACTTCCTCTCATCAAAAACTCAAAACGTTCCATAAATATTCTCTCTTCAAATCCTGTAGTTAGTGCTGTTGCTTGAAAAACAACCAACAAGTTGGCTATTTTAAAAAACTTGACTTTATCTCATACCATTACCAACGCCAGATATTTTAAGACGTCTAAAACACTACTCTTAAAACACACAAGAGCCAGGAGGCTGAGCTGACTCGAATGTAATGTGCTGCTCAGCTGTGATCTGGTTACTTGAAGTACAGTTCCAGATTCAACCTTCTCCCAGAAGGACAGCGTTTAAAGAAACCACGTCAGCATCTCTGGCAATACTACAGTCATTGAAGCTCTTTCTGAGCTTAGACCAAAGCTGAAGCGACGAGGTGAGTTTCTAACCCTGAGAAATTCTCAGATTCTATGATTTTAAGAGTGTTTGTCATGAGTTAGCATAATTCCAAAAAACCAGACTGGGCTATTTGACCCTAGTCTCATTTCTCCCAATATGGCCTGAGAACTCACTGCCCGTGTTGGCAGAATCCGCTGGGAGGACATGTTAAAAATGTGGATTTCTGGGCTCCACCCCAGATTTAGTGAGTCAGACTCTCGGGCCCAGGAAGCTGCATTTAACAAGCTCTCCACTGACTCCCAGGCACAGTAAAATCTCAGAATCCCTGCTGATGGGCAGCGTGTGTCCACCTGCTACAAAAAAGATTCTGCCCTGGGGAGTTTGGGTCCAGAAGGAGGGGTGGAAAGAACAGCAAACAGTTCAAGAGATCCTAGTGCGTGCCAAGTATTTCATACATATCCTCACATTTTGATTGCCCAATGGCTCCCAGAGACTGAGATTATTAAACTGTTTTTACAGATGAAGAAATTAAAACACAGAGAGGTTAAGATACAGCTCGGAGTCAAACAGCCACTAAGTGGCGGCCCTGAGATTCTAACTAGTTATTACCCCAGGGCCCACTGTTTTTCTGAAACACCAGCTGTACGATCCTGAGCTGAGCCTCTGTCAATTAAGATCTGAAATAATAATTGTTACCTATCTCATAAAGTTGTTATAAGGATTTAGTGGGATAAAGCATGTAATGTATTAGTGCAGTGTGAGACAATAGTATATGCTCAATAAATGTTAACTATTATTATCATTATTATACCACAAGTAATACCTAGGTAAATAAAAATGATAGTAAAGGATCTCTACAAGCGAAATTGTACAATCATTTTTAAACTGAATTTTTTTTAGAGGGAGTTATATTTGCTTTACTTTTTTTTATTGTGGTAACTGGTTTATAACATCATATAAATTTCAGGTGTATATCATTATATTTCAATTTCTGTGTAGGCTACATCATGTTCACCACCCAAAGACTAATTACCATCCATCACCCTACACATGTGCCCTGTCACCTCTGTCACCCTCCTCCCTCCCCCCTTCCCCTCTGGTAACCACCAATCTAATCTCTGTGTCTATGTGTTAAACTTAAATTTTAACAGATAGCATCAAATTGGCTTCTAGAGAATTTGAGGAACTGTTTTCTCATCCCTGCCAACACACGATATTGTCAAACTCTATGATTTTTGCCAACCTGATGAGTGAAAAATTATATCTTGTCCTAATTGGCATTTCCTTGATTACTAGTTTGGTTGAGTGCCTTTTCATATTTTATTGTCCATTTATATTTCCTTTTAGGTGCATGATCTTTATTATTGTCTGTCTGTATTATTGTCCATATTATTATTTATTCTATGGGTTTCATTATTCTTTACCTAAACACAAGTTTAATCATTTGTCCCACTAATCTGTGGACTCCTTGAAAGCAGGAACTATTTATTGCTTGTTTATTGTTTTATCCGTTTTGGCTGTGAGACTCTGAAAAAGTTATTTAACTTCTCTGGGTCTCAGTTTCCTTATCTGTAAAATGGGCATGATAACAGTACTTACCTCACTGAGATGTCATGAAAAGTAAATGAGTATATATATATATATATATATATATATATATATATATATATATATATAAAGCATTTATAACAGTGCCTGGCACATACTATGTGCTATGTCTGTGCTATCTATTATTATTATTATATCCTCAGGATTTAAACAAAGTGCTTGGTACATAATACACAATTTAATATGGCTTGAAGTTGAATTTGGAGATCCTAAAAACAAACTAGACACCAAATCAAGGGGTCAGGCAATGAGGAAATAAGTTAAGGACCTGATCGCTAGAACTAGGGTATAAAGTCAGAACTTGGTTCCAAGAGGCAGGGGAAGGGTCCAACCTGTTGAACTGGATCATAAGGTAACCTCAAGTCCTGGAACCAGGCTATGAACCCAGAGCCACCAGCCAGATTTGTCCCAGACAGTGGCAGCAGAAGCTAAATAACAGAGTGCCAAATAGTTACGAGGGCTAAATAACTCCCACCATGGGGAGAAATCAAGAAGCAGTGAGCCAGGCAAGATATTGGAGGCAGACAATAATAACTGACAAAGGGTTTTATTGCTCTATATAGTTGCATTAATTTAAAAGATCTAGCCATATCACTAAGCTGAAATCATCAGATATTTCTAAGTCCATTTCTTTAAGATAGAGAATGAAAAAATTAATTCTATCAGGAAGTGTTATAAACTAATTTTCCCCTCAGATTTCGCTCGGTTCTGAGAGATTTTTTTTCATCCTTCTTCGATCCTGCTTTAATACCAAACCCAAAAGCACTGTGTGAATTTTTTAGTTTTATAAGAAGAAGGCATAATTTACATAAGGTAAAATATACTCTTTTCAGTGCACAGTTCTGTGAGGTTTTTGTTTTTTTGTTTTTTTGTTTTTGAGGAAGATTAGCCCTGAGGTAACATCTGCTGCCAATCCTCCTCTTTTTGCTGAGGAAGACTGGCCCTGAGCTAACATCTGTGCCCATCTTCCTCCGCTTTATATGTGGGACGTCTGCCACAGCATGGCTTGACAAGTGGTGCCATGTCCACACCCGGGATTTGAACTGGTGAACCCCAGGCTGCTGAAGCAGAATGTGTGCACTTAACCGCTGCACCACCGGGCCAGCCCCTAGTTCTGCGCGTTTTGACAAACACACCATCATACAAGCATTGCTACCATCAAGATAAAGAACAGATACATCACCTTCAAAATTTCCTCGTGTTCCATCGTCATGAATCCTTCCCCCACCTCTAGCCCCTGACAACCACTGATCTTTGTTTTCTCACTACAGTTTTCCCTCTTTCCAAAATGTCAGGTAAATGGAATCATATCATACACAGCTCTTTGAGTCTGTCCTCTTACACTTAGAATACACATTTGAGTTTCATCCTTGTTGTCGTGTGCATCAGTAGTTCTTTCCTTTTTTTTCTGAGTAGGATTCCATTGTATGGATGGATACATCACCATTTGTTTATCCTGTTACCAGCTGAAGGATATTTAACCAGTCTCCAGTTTTTGGTGGTTATGAATAAACCCTCTCTAAACATTCACAAATAGGTATTTGTGTGAACATACGTTTTCATTTCTCTTGGGTAAACACCTAGGAGTGAAGCTGCTGGTCATATGATAGGTATTTGTTTAACTATGAAACACTGCCAGTTTTCCAAAGTGGCTGTACCATTTTACGCTCCCATCAGCCATGTTTGATTTTGAACAGTCCTTACAGAACACAATCCAAAGGATGGATCCCATTTTCTATGGAGTAAAACATCCAAAATTCTTCCCTTACCATTCTACATCTTCCTTTCAGCCACTGAAGGACCTGCCTCTTCCCAGCCGTTATGTCACTGCTCTTCCATATGTTCTCCTGGGTACTGTCAGGTTCAGGCCCCCGACCCCTGACCATGCCTGATGCTTCCTCACACGCATGTTCTTGTTTATGCCATCTACCACCTGGAAGGTTCACCTTTTTTTTTTTTTTTTTTTTTTGAGGAAAATTAGCCCTGAGCTAACATGAGCCACCAATCCTCCTCCTTTTTGCTGAGGAAGACTGGCCCTGAGCTAACATCCTTGCCCATCTTCCTCTACTTTATATATGGGACATCTGCCACAGAACGGCTAGATGAGCAGTGCCCAGGTCCGAGACCGGGAAGTGAACTGGTGACCCTGGGTGGCCAAAGCGGAATGTGTGAAGTTAACCACTGTGCCACCGGGCTGCCTAGAGGTCCAGCTTTTATTACTGAAATCTTATGTAAACCCCACTATTGTAATCTTTTCATTCTTCAAGACTTCCTTCTGCTCTCCAGAAAAAGAGAATTCAGTGAAAGGTTTGACAGAGGGGGCCAATAAAATGAGCAGGCACAAGCCCCTTGCTCTCTGTGCCATCCAACCCAGATTCCCATGTGCCACGTGGCGGGACAAAGCTAAGGAGGAGTCCAGAGCACTGCTTATGGGAGCAAGCAAAAGCCTACTAGAGCAGGTCTCTTTTTCCCTTATTTTAAAAAAAGGTAAACACACCCAAAGAAACTAGAATTTACAGTGAATTCTCATTGTTTGGGGAACAAAAGCTTTTCCATTTATGCAACTTTGGGCCAGTTCTTGGTGCGAGTCAAGACTTCTCTTGCCAAGTTTTTTACATCTGGATATGCACACATGCACATATGGCTTTGGCAGAGTAGGCAAATCGAGAAGCAAATTCTTTCACAACACAGCAAATATCTATTTCTTACCAAAGAGATAATGTACATAGGATGGATTTGTTTTCTTCCCTAAACAACTTGGAGTCTGTCTACACACCGAGAGGCATCTCTCTGAGGCCCCCGAAGGACTGAAGGCAGCGCCAAATGCAACGTGTCCGCTCTCCGTCCATTTCTGGAGGAGCTGATGCAATTTCAAGACGCGGGGCTGAGCCGGGGCTCGCTTCTTGCGCTACAGTTTACTCATGTTCCGCGCTGCCTGCTTCTGCAGCGCCTGGTAATCCTAGAAATCTTGCCGCCTGCAGCTCAGGAATAATGAGCTTGCGGCCATCAACTCTGAGTGCCATTATCTGAATGGGCCCTGCATGCCAGCTGGGAGCGCTCACACTTGTCAGCCGCCAAGGAGGACCCGGCTGACTTGATACTACTTTCCTCCAGGAGACGGTCTCGGTCCTTACCTTGGCTCCATCTCGTAACCAGGGATCTCACGATTGAAAGGCAAAAAGGAAAAGAAGCCGATTCTGTCCCCCTTGCCAAGTGACTGTTCCCACCCTATCAATCCCAGCCAGACCTCGGATGTTCAAAAGCCGCATCCTCAGCCGCTTCCCCGGAGAAGACAATGGCTTGCTTGACAAGCCCCATCCAGGACCCTCTCTGGATCGTTCTCCGCAGTCTTCCAATTTTAAAAACATTGTTTCGGCTTATAGCAAAGTCTAAACCTCACTGTCCACCCCCAGCGCCGCCCAGGCCCGACTCACCTGGCCGGTGGAGAAGCGCCGGAGCGCCTGGCCGCCGCGCCGCAGCATGTCGGAGAGGCGCGCTCTCGCCGGCAGCAGGCGGGGGGCTCAGCCCGCGCGCGGCCTGCAGCCTCCAAGCCCGCTGCTCCCGGCGCGGCGAGTCCCCGGGCCCCGGCGCCCGGACCCGCCCCCTCAGCTGGCCCGGCCCGGCCCCGTCAGCTGGCCGGGATCCGGCGGCCAATCCCGTGCGACTGGGCGGGGCGAGCGCTGGTCTCCGGGAGCCGCGGGCCCGGGCCAGCGTGTGGTGCCGGTGACCTGCCAGAGGGACCGCTCCAGGCGGCTGCGTCCGTTCCAGTGGTGGTGCAGGTACTTACTGGCCGTGGGACCTTCTCCCAGTTACTCAACTCTGAGGTACACAGGGATCTGTCTCAATGGTCAATCTGACACCCCAAGTCATGTCAATAATACAGGCCTGAGAAGACATCAGGCGTGTCAGTGTGCGTCGAGCTATGAAAGGTAAGGCGTGGGGGCACCTTCGCTACAGTCTAAGGATCCTGATACCTATGTTGTCGGCTGGTAAGAGGATTTAATGAGAGACTGTGTATAAAGCCTTGACAAAGGGCCTGGTACAGAGCTGGTCCTAGAGAGATGATAGATAGATAGATAGATAGATAGATAGATAGATAGATAGATAGATACCCTTCTCCCTCCTCTCTCTAGAAGAAACCCTCAGACATGCTTTAGCTGAGCACTTGTCTCAAACGGAACTCCTTAACCTGACATTCAAGGCCGTCTCCAATTTGGCATTCTCGTTTCTCGCTGCTCTGTTGCACATGTAATTCAGCTTAACCGTAGTACTTGCCCATTCCTTCCTGGACAATGCTTATCAGAAAAGCTTGTCAGCTGTCCCTTGACCCCATCCCAGCATGACCAAATTCCTTCTCTTCTTAAAGGTAAGGCTCAAATGCTGCCTCCTGGAGGCATTTTTCTCGATTCTTTCCTCCCTAACCTCCTTATTCCCCCAAAGTAATCTTTCACTCCTCTGAATATGTATCTCTTATGATGTCTCAATCTGTTACTGGTACTTATGTACCTTCAGCTCTACTGGAAGCTCCTTGCAGGCTGAGTCCATGTCTGATTTATCAGGATATACACTATCTAGCATTAAGCAGAGCTTAAGAAATACTTGTTGAGAGAGGAAATGAGTGAATGAATGAATGAATGTGTTTAAGAAGATAAGAAGCAGACAAAAAGAACTATCTTTAAAGCTTGGAGAATTGCGGCAAACCTCCAGTGCTTTGCTTTGGCAACTGCTTTTTGCCAATTCCACTCATTTTCCTGACTGCCTTTTGTGACTTCTTGCTTCTTTTAAGCTTCCAAATGTTGATATTCATTTTATTTGTTCTGATCCTATGCAAACTGGGAGGAGTGGGCAAGGAGTGTGGTTTTTCCTCACTGGGGGTTCCATAGTGACATACTCCAACTCCTAACTTTAGAAAATGAGTTTATGTTCACTCACATACAATGAAATATTCATGATGCCTAAGACTTTTGTTTTTAAGAACCAAAAGTGCAATCCTCTTGATAATTGTAGGTTACGCCAGATGCAGTTAGAGAGTTTGACAAACAAACAAGCCCTGCCAATCTAGATTTTGATACCCAGCAAAAATGGAGATGAAATAAAGTCATTTTTAGAAACAAAAACCTGGAGAATTTGTCAAAAGCACAATAAAGGGCATATTAAAGAGTATCCTTCAAACAGGAGGAAAATTACCCTCATGGAAGCCTGGAAATGCAGGAAGGAATGAAGACCAACAAAAAAGACAAATATGTGAGTGAATTTAAGTGAATTTTGACCATATGAAGAAGAATAAGAAGAAAATCTTGTGGATATATCTATCCACTATATATTTATACATATATTTCATATATATGAAAATATACAGACCACAATGAAAAATTGTTGGATAAGTTTGGAGGGTTTGGAGGAATGGAATGTTCTTTAGGCAGAAAAAAAATAATCCCAGATGGAAGCTCAGAGATGAAGGAATGAAGAGCAATAGAAAGGTAAATGTGAGGGCAAATGTAAGGGAATATTAGTTCTCTAAAACAATTCTAATAAAGTTTCATGGAGTTCAAAAATATATATAATTAAAATACATGACAAAAATAGCATTTGATTTTCAGGGAGAGAAGGTGGAGTTTGAGTGTTCTAAGGTTGCAGCATTGTCTTGGAAAAATAAAAGTACTAATTTATGCTAGGCATTAATAAGTTAAGGATGCATATTGTAATCTCTAGTACAACGACTAAAAGAGTAGTAATACAATGTGTAACTACCAAGTTAATAGAATATAAAACTATCAACTATCAAGATAATAGAATGATTAAAAAAAATCAATCCAAAAGAAGGCGAGAAAGGAGAGAAAGAAACATGAGATAGATGGAAAAAATAGATGTTAGATTTAAGGCTAAATATACTAGTAATTACAGTAAATGAAAATGGACTAAATGCTTTATTTTTTTCTATTCACTTGTAAAGTTCTGCACTCATTCTTAGCACCTGCCCCATACTCCATGGAGAGTCGTAAATGTCATTTATCTAATCTATCCCTGCTGGTGGACATTAGGTTGTTTCTAGCCACTCTCCTGAGCTGCTTTCAGGAAATGACCTCAGTCTTCAACCTCAGAAAGGGGTCGAGCTAAAGGAAGGAGTTTAAACACTGATGTGCATAACCAGATGGCACCCACAAGGTGGGGTATCAAAAGTGCTCATTTTCTCAGCAACTTGGGGGATTATCATCAGCCTTTATATATTCTTTTCTTTTTAAAAATTTTATTCAATTTATTTAAACAAAAACCACCAGTTCACCCATTTATAAATTCGTTAATTAAAAAGGCAAAGATTATCAGATTCCTTAAAAAACAACACTCTTGCAAGAGAGATTCATAAACTATGAAGATTCAGAAAAGAGAATTTTAAAAGAACCCACTCAAACAGTAACCAAAAGAAAATGTTAATCTGACAGGAAGATGTAAAAGTTCTAAATTTGTATACACTTAGTAGGATAGCCTCAAATTTTGTGAAGCAGAACTTATCAGAACTTCAGGAAAAAATAGACAAACCTGCAGCCATAACTGAAGATTTTAACATCCTCCTCTTAATAACTGATAGAAGCAGAAAAGATATTAGCAATGATGCAGAATATTCAAATGATATGATTAACACACTTGACCTAATTAATAAATATGGAAGTACCCCACTACCAAATATACATTTTAAAGTACATATAAAAAATTTTCAAAAATTCACCATATGCTAGCCTATAAATTTAAATTGTAGAGTATGACTCTGGCTACAGTGGAATTGAGCTAGAGATCAATAACAAAAAGACAGTTGGTGTAATCACCACTTTTTTTGAAATTATGATTTTCATAATTATTAAATTATGAAATACTCTTCTAAATAATGATATGGAAATTGCTGGAAAAGATGGCATGTTCTTTGCTTGTCCCAGTTTCCGGTGTACAAGGGAGCACCGTGTCTGCAGACATTCCTAAGACATCTTTGCTGAGACAAGGGAAATAAGAGAAAAAGTGACTAGTCTAGAGAAAGCTGAAGAAGCAAAGTTGAAAGCAAGTTATCCTCATCTGAGATGAAAATTTGGGGGTTCAGATTTCTTGAAATAGTTGCAAGAAGTTGCAAAAAAAGGAAATAGTTGCAAAAAGACCATTTAAAAGATTCTGGGGATTACAACACGACCAGAACAAAAATGATTAGGCAACTTCTACTGTGGCCTCAGATAAGATAGACGTTCCTAGTTCCTATATTGCTCCTTTGTGTCTGTTCCCACAAAACTGCACGTCAAATTTAAGGACAGTTATTCAATGGATAATTTTGAGTATCCGGCATGTTGTAGGCACCATAGTAGATGCTGGGCATAGAGAGGTGGATGAGGCAGATGTTGCTTACAATCCAGCAGGAAATGGCAAATATCAAAGTGTGATCAGTACTATCAAAGATGAAACAGAGTTTTTGGAAACACGAATCTGGAGGACCTAACTGAAGGCCAGTGAGGGTGCTGATCGACTTTCACCTCAGTTTTCAACACAATTCTTGACACACAATGTTCTTGACACTTTGAATACAGTTTATGGAATGGAGAAATAAATGAACTGAGTGACTGAATAGAGGCTGAGGAACACAGAGAGAAAGGAGTGACTGACTTAGTTTGGGTCATGAGGGAGGACTTCAGCAAACATTTAACATCCTGCCTACCCTGACCCCCAGCCCCAGAAGCTGAGTTGTAAAGGGAGAGAGTTTGCCAAAAGATAGAGGAGGAAATGGCATCAGAGGAACTAGAAACAGCAAGTGCCAAGTCATGAAGGAGAGAAAGAGCACGGCAGGGTCAGAAAACACTTCCTTAATGGTAGCTAGGATAATGACTTTTAAACCTTTATTTAGAAGCTAAATACACAAAGGAAATATTATGAAGAAGCCTGATACACTAAAAAATAAAAGGCAGGCGTGGGGGGACCCTCTGAGTGAAGGAGAGCCCTTAATCCCCTACAGTGGCCTCCAAGGCACTTCCAGGAAGAGACTTCTTTGAGCTCCTTTTGTGAGCATCTGGGCTACAATGGAGTGTTCACGGGGCTGAGGGGAGTAGGCAAAGAGGGAGACGTGGGGCAGGGTCTCATGGATCTTCTTTACCATGCCAAGCAGGGGATGCAAAGCACGGAATCTTTTTCTTCTGCGTTGTTGAACATTGTAAAATACTGAAATGTATAAAGAACAAAAACATCAAATTGCCAATCCCACAGTCCAGGGATAACTACTCAATATGTTGGTCTTCTTCCTCACTGAAGCATAGTTAAGCAGTACAGTGAGGTTAATTACGTCGTATTTGAGGAAGATGCTCTTGTTAGCAATATGGAAGGTGGTAGGTGACAATGGACGCTACTTAGGGGAAACTGCCATAGGCTAAGCGAGTAATCCTAGGTACAGGGTGGGAGGGGGAAGAAAAAAGTGATCGATTTGAAAGACAGTGTTAAAATAAGATCAGCTAACCTAGTGACCCTTTGGAACAGGAAGATGGAGGGAGTGGGAGAAATAGAGGAATAAGCAAGGAATAAATATTAGCTATTATTAAATCTTAGAAGTTCTTTTATCC